TCCACATCAAATCCTAACGATTTAACCCAAATAGAAAAAAGTCAAATTTCAACGCGTTTGAAACGAAATTGGCTGGCCGCGACCATGAGCCCCCAACCCACCTTGACCTCTTTTTCCAGTCCGCGCGCTCGCGTCACCGGGGGGCCAAATAAAATATACACGTGCTGAATGATGACGTGGCACGTCCGTCTTATCCACAGCATCATTGCTGGACTTGCTTTCAGCCAAAAAATAAAAATTAAAATAAAAATAAAAATTAGAAAAGCCCGAGTGGACACAACACGTGTGCGCACCAATGGGCCACGTGGAGCGGAGTAGTACCGCCGAAAGCTTTCCATTTGTGACTCTCGCTTTTTCTAGAAGTAAAAAATTTTAAAAAAAATAATAAAAAAATGCCTTCTCGATGGTAAAATAGAATAAAAATAAAACGGGTCGATATGCACGAACCGGTTCGTCTCCTTCTTCGTTCATATATCATACTTTAATCATTGCACTTTTGACCTTGAGGGGCGGGCGGGATAATTATCTAAAAGGTTTTAAGCTCGCTACAAGGTAATCGATTCAGTTATGAATCTTTTAATTATGTCAATTTAGTCATAAATATTTTGATGATTTGTCAATTTAGTCCTAAACCTTTTGAAGATTTACCAATTTAGCCCTAAGCGTATTATTCGGATATTTGGCATGAAAGATTATACTGATCAAATTGGCAAATCATCAAAAGGTTCGGGACTAATTTACATAATTTTTAGGACTAAATTTGAAAATCATCGAAATGTTTGGGAGTAAATTGATACAATTGAAAAGTTTATGACTGAATCGGTCTTTGAAATTAGCTATTAGCATTATGTTTTCCAGTAATTATTATCTTTGTATTTTTCTAGTTAGTGATAATTAGCGTGACCGTGCAGTCAATCTTCCATGTTTGGGAAGAGGGAAGGTGGGCTGTCATTTCCAGAAAAGAAAAAGGGCAAAATAATAAAGGTAAAGAAATTATAAAGAGGGAAAAGGGCGGCCGGATAAAAAAATAGTAGGCATTCCGTGGGCGGTTGCCGACACTGCAAGCCATATTTCACGACCAGAAAATAATATTTTGTAAATGTTATGGCTAAATAAAAAATTTAAAAAAAAAGAAATATTGGAAATCAATTATCCAATCAACAGTACCATTCTGCCGTCTCGCGAAGACCGAACGCAATAATCTATGGCCATGACATGGGGCACCTGAAAATTGCATAATGATGACCCAAATTTATTAATTAGGATCGCGAATCGAGACACTTGTTGCGATCCACACGGAACGATTAATGTATCGACAGTTGCAACATTATTCGCACATGTTACGGTATTCATAATTATTATATTTTGTTGGGATAAATGTATTGAAAGGCCTGAAATTTATTATAAAAATGAAATTGAGTTTTAAAATTTTTGAAAAGGGCAATTAAGTCCTAAAACTTGTCACGAAGTGCCATTGAATCCTAATTTTTAAAAAAAAATGCAATTAGGTTCCAAAATTTGTCAAATTGATCCAGTTAAGTCTTTCCGTTGATTGCACTTTTTAAAAGTTATAGGACTTGATTGCACTTTCGTGAAAAATTCTAGGATTTGATTACATTTTTGAAAAGTTTTAGAACTCGATTTCACTTTTTAGTAAGTTTTAGGATTTAATTACGTTTTTTAAAAATTTTAGGACTCAGTGCACCAGTGCACTTATCCCTATTTTGTTAGGGATGGTGTTAATACTAGGCTCGGTTGGCCATAGTGTCCATGTTGTCGTGCTCTTTGTCCACGAAGATTGAGGGGATGGCGGTGGTTGTGTCCTTGCAACCACAGCAAGCGGCGGCTTGGCCTCGTGTCGACCTAAAATTTAGAATCAACCCAGGCCGATGGTTTCGGACCTAGGCACGCGACCTCAGATCCGACGTCGCAAGCCAAAACCTAAGTTCGGGCAAAGAGAAGGGAGGGGGGGTTGTTTGCAACAATGAAGCTCGGTGACTCGGGCAACGTCGTGACCCTAGACGTGATGGGGCTGCATCAGCGGGCGGGCGGGAGGCGATGTCCGGTGGACCTCGACGTCGATCAAGAAGAAGAATTAGAAGATGATGATGTCGCGAGTCCCTTTGTTCGTGATTTTGATTGCTGTTCGTTGGCTTGGGCCTATCTCCGTTGACGAGAGAGAGAGAGAGAGAGAGAGTCGTGAGCGCGTGTCTTGTTAGGTGGGGGAGGACAAACGGAGAAAGAACGACAGTGCCAAAAAAGGAAAAAAAAAAAAACACAAAGAAGGAGCTGAGGGTAATTTCGTCATTCGACCGTCCGGGAGGTAGTGCGGAGTCAAATCGAGTAAAAAGGCGAGGGCGTTGGTGCCGTCCACTTGTTAATTAGGGATTGTAAGCTTATTATTAACCCTTTCCCAGTGGGAACTCGGTGTCGGCCCCTCTCCTTCGAAGACATGACCACCCGTCATTGGGCCTCGTGTTCTCCGAGGATGTGGAAACCGCATTATGCTCTGTCCCCGCGACGCGTAATAACCTGATCGCCGTCAATTTCCGCACGCACCGAGACAGCCACATGGCTCGGTCCTGCTCGTTGGCACCCAAACACTCGAGTCTCCTCGTTATGCCCCGACATCCATCGTCGAGGGCCCTTTGAGAAATTCTAGAGTGTGGTTTTACTTGAGCACTTCTTATAGGGGCTTTGCATTAGCGGAACTAATCGGGTCGTTATAGATTGGTATCCAAGCGCGATCCGTTCAACTGGATGTGCGATACACGGATGTACCGGGAGCATCCCCTATTTCATGAGAGGCGAGAGTATGATCATTTAGGGGCGAGAGAGCTTGAACAAAAAGTTGCGACTTTCGACGGCCTTCGAGGATGTGTAGGGTCCACATGGACTCGACCGTACATCAAAATGACACGTTGTTAAAATAATGCGGGCTTATATTGATGAGGATGTCAATTTTTAGATGGAGGTGTTTGTAACATCCCACAATCCCACATCGAGATACGAGGTATCCTACTAAATAAAATATAGGTTAACACACTATCCTCAAACGATTATCTCCTAGTGTGGTCATCTCAAGTACTCCTTTTTGGGGCTCGCCCGACATGGAATGGGCTGGATCATTACGCAATAAGATCGTTTGATCCTTCTCTCACACCAATTCTACTAGTTTTCGACATCACTTCGACACAACACCAACCCCTTCCATTAAGGTAAGAGTTTTGCGTTCAAATCTCCTCGACAAAATACAATGTGAAATTAGACGGTATCCTTCGAATTCACGTACTCTCTTTTCCTCATAATATACTTTGCGAATCACAATAAAAACAGCATTCAGCATGGAATTAGGAATGCTCGAATACTAATTAGCCGTGGGGGTAAACTGTAATGGATTCAAAAGTACAAATACGCGTATTAATTGGTAAGTATCTCTTGTTCTCGAAACAACGAGGCCTGGAAAGTGTCAAATACAATTCAAAAGTGTACAATACGTGCATTCGGTAATTAAGTGAAGGTTTTAAGAATAATACGTTAATGCATCGAGACTCCTTACTCACGACATATTTTATTAAATGATTCGTTGAATCCGATTGGGTATTTGAACAAATCAAGCATGAAATACAAGCGGGTCCCAAAAAGAACTTAATTAAATTTTTTTATAAAAAATATATATGTTTCGAATAAAATCACTCACGACTCCTCCCTTTCATTTGACTGTACGGGTGCGCATGAATACCATTCTGTGCCCGGGAACTATTTCTGAACAGAAATGATTTTTTTTGATTCTGTGCCCGGAAACAATTTCTGAGTATTTGAAGGCGTTTGATAAACTGTCCAAAATTTCTATTCCTAGAGTAGAAAAGAACAAAAATGCGTTTGGTAACTACACAAAATTTCTGTTCCCAAATAATATTTTAATAATATTTTGAATTGTTTAATTTTTTTTTTCTTTTTACCCATTTTCTTCTTTGGCCATGGCCGGTCGCCGGCGACCGGCGGCCGGCAACCGACCACAGCTCAGGGCCGGCGAGGGCGTCACGGCCCTCGCCGGCGAGGGCGAGGGCTGGACCCTCGCAGATCGGGCAAGGCGGCCTCGCCCAGATCGGGCGAGGCCGAGCCTCGCCGTCGGTCGCGACGGCGAGGCTCGGCCTCGCCCAGATCGGCGAGGCCGAGCCTCGCCGTCGCGACCCACGGCGAGGTCGGCCGCCGTGGGTCGCGACGGTGAGGCTCGGCCTCGCCCGTCCGGGCGAGGCCGAGCCTCGCGTCTCCGGCGAGGCCGACCTCGCCGTCGCGACCGACGGCGAGGCTCGGCCTCGCCCGGCGAGCGAGGGTCCACAGCCCTCGCCGGCGAGGGCCGTGACGCGCCTCGCCGGCCACGGTGACCTGGTCGCCGGCTGGGGCGGCAAAGGAAGAACAACACAAAAATAAGAAAAAAAAAAAAGAAAAAGAAGAAAAAAACCGATTCTCAAAATTGTCTTAGAAACAAGAAGAACTTTTTTTACTTCTTGTTTCTCTTCCAAACTGTTTCTAAGCACAAATTTTTGCAAAAATGTGCCCGGAACAAAAAGTTTACCAAACGCATTTCTGTTCTCAAACTATTTCTGGGAACAAAAGAACAGAAATTTTCACTGTTTGGCACGTTACCAAACGGGCCCTACATCTCCCCCCTAAATAGCCCAATTGTCCAAATAAAGAAAAATAAAAAAAAACAAAAGAATAAAAATCCAACACCCAATAAAAGCAAAAACGTGCTGGATCGAAACTCTCTGGAGTGGGGCCCACACCACAGGAAAAAAAAAAGGGAAAACCCAAACCCAAAAAACAAAAAAAAAATTCAGAATCGCCCTCCAACAACCCACAAAAGTCCAAAAACCGCTAAACGACAAAATACCCCTCTCCTCCCCCCGCCTCGACAGCTCAGCACGCCCTTTTCATTGTGTAAAACAGCCTTTTCTTTAATCACCGGAATTTCCGAAATCTTTTTAAATCTTCCGAAAATCGAAGGCAAGTTTTATAGATAAGAACTTCCCGTATAAAACCCAAACCCCTCCAAATTCTCCCACCAAATCCCCAGAAAGGAAAGAAGAAGAAGGAGAAGAAGAAAAGGCGGCGGCGACGGCGACGACGGCGACGACGACGACGACCACCTCCGTTCCCGACGACGACCCGTTGATTCTTCTCATGTACTGCCCGACCGCGCTGACGCAGGCGACCCGGCCTCCTCCTCCTCCGGGGGCGGTGGCGGCGGCGGAGTGGAGCCGCTACGAGGACAAGCTCTTCGAGTACGCGCTGGTGGCGGTGGCGGAGGACTCGCCCGACCGTTGGCAGCTGATCGGGGACCGCCTGAACAGGCCCGCGTCGCAGGTGTTCGAGCACTACCAGAGGCTGGTGGCGGACATCGACGCGATCGAGTCCGGGCGGGTCGAGCCGCCGAGCTACCGCGACGAGCCCCCGGGGAGCGGCGGCCAGATTGCGTTCGAGGCGAAGCCGCCCCCCCGGTTCAAGGACGCGGAGAAGAAGAAGGGAAACCCGTGGACCGAGGAGGAGCACAGGTGATTGAGAGATGCCTTCGGTTGTTTTTTGTTGAAATATTCCTCTTTCCTGTTATTTGTTGTAGCGTTCTTGTTTCTGGGGGCTCTGAATTGCTTTTCTGATTTGGGAGATTAGCTGTTGGATTCGTGCAATTCTTGAAAATTCGATCTTTTCTGGTTTCTTGTTTTCTTTGCTGTGAAGAGCGACTCATATGTTTTGCCTCGTTGCTTCGAAAGAGCATCTGCCCTCGATGTTTTCTTGTGGTTGCTAATGAATTGGAGAAGAAAAGGTTGAACCCTAGATATTGCGTTTGGGGTTTAACGAATTATTGGTGTTTACTTTCAATTGAAGTTTTTATTCAAGTTTGGATATGAAGGTATTCGCGATTTCTTTTCCCTGCAGGAGAAATTCAAACCCCTGGTTTTTGCTATGTCTCTTTGAATTGGAGTGCTAATTGGAGTAAATGCGATAATGTTTGGTCTATTTGATCTCTCGAAATATGAATTTTTGCTTCAACACGCCCATTTCATGGAAGATGTAATGTTTTAGTCACAAAAATCTGGTGTCATGTTGATGTTTGTGTAATTTCTTAGTAGAAACTGGATGAATTTGTGACAAGCTGTGAAATTTTGTTTTGTCGTTCCGGCTGCTTTTGCTACGAACTGTTTCTATACCTGTAGATCTGCTTCATTGACCTTTTCTATGTCCGTCTAAACAGAAAAACCTAAAGATGGATTGTGTTGTGCGAATAAGAGATAACCGGTGAGCGTGCAATGTTATTTTTGGGCAGGGCTGATAGTTTGGCGTAATGTTGTTTCACGCCCCTGTGTGAAACAATTATAACCACAGGCAGGTCAACAGAACAGCTCACCTGCCTGTGTGTCATATATGTAGTTTCTTCATCTTTCTGTGTAATCAACTTCATATACATTTTGAGGACCGGTGCAAGGAAACTGCCCTGTTTCACTGCTAGAGTCAGAAATTTCTTTTACACCCGAGGTGCTTGTATAAGAAAGAAAAACCTGTTGCAAATTGTCTCCTGGAAAATTGGCAATTCTTAGAGCCCTAGCTGTGTTAAAGAATGTTTGCACTTATTTGATCCTTGCCTTATAATAAGATCTCTTGTTTGTCGCCCCGGCAGGTTGTTTTTGCTCGGACTGCAGACATATGGCAAGGGTGACTGGAGGAGCATCTCGAGGCACTTTGTCCACACTAGAACACCGACTCAGGTGGCTAGCCACGCTCAAAAGTTCTATATGCGGCAAATGAGTTTGGGGAAGAAAGAGAGGAAGAGAACTAGCATTCACGACATCACCACGGTCGATACCCCCCCAGTCCAGTCATCTGTTAATGAGAGTTTCAACCCTCCTCAAGCGGGCAATGCCCAAGATGATCCGAGTTATGATTTTCCACAAGGCAGCAACTTTCAGCAGATGCAACCTTTTCAACCAGCACCTTTCATGAATCGTTTGCCTGATCAAGGGGGAGGGTCGATAGGATACGATAACTTCAGCTATTTCTTGTGAAGTGCCAGGATTGAAGTTTTGTATATAGATTATAAAGCCAGTATAAAGTAGGAATTCATTATAGATTTTAGTGGAAAAGGGGTATATGTACTTTAGGTTCTCACTCTTTTCTTTATTTCAGTTCATGTTGAATCATGTTCTGAATCACTCTTTGAAATACAGTAAATTTTAGTGGGAATCAAATCTATTCGGTAACTTACGTAATTTTTCTTCTTCTTTCTCGCGGATGCTTTTCTTATAATTTGGAATCTTCGCATAGATTTCTATATTCCTATTCCTGAGCAATCCTATGTACGAAGCAAGAATGCAGTTCTGTTCTGAAATTCAGAGCCATCGACTAATTACAACTAGTTTAGGAGAGGGTTTCTATATTTCAGAGTTATTGACTAAAAAGTAATTTGGATGATTATTATTAGGTTCCCTAGCTAGTGTAAGAGAATTTCTACTCGTTCATCATTTGACGATTGACATATGCATTTGGAAATAATTATGTAATTGGATACTAAACATGTCATAATGTATAAATCATTGCTTACACTTGGTGGCGGATTTCATAAGATCATTGATCTTGTCCTCGCTCACAAAGACACTATGCCATTGTACTCTTGCGTGAAAAATTCACGTCACAAGAGAAAACAGAGGACTCTGCAATCCATTATTCAATCGGCAATGTAGTCTATAGCTTGAACAAACGCATCGAACAGCAATACGTGCAATCCATTATTCGTTGTGTCGATCAACCCCACCTCGAAGGCCCCGTTGATGATGCAGGACACGATGAAGAGGAGCTCAGCCGCCCGGGGGTGCATGTGGGGAGGGTTGACCGAACTGGCCAGGTACTGGAGGATCGCATACTAGAAGCTCTGCCTGTTGAGGGCCGGGAACTCAGCCATGGTTGCCTTCTGTCACCTTGAACCTCATGGGGTTGTCCAACCTGACGAGGCCTCTTGTGCAGGTGTACGTGCGGAATTTGCCGACAGCAGTGGTCAGGAATCCATGGTGATAGCTGCATCCCAGCTGTTGCGGCCCATAAGATGGCCAAGATGAGGATCGCTGCACCGAGCAGCTCATGCTTCTAGTTAGAGATGTCCCTGATTAGGAGGACTCAGAAGAAGGAAACCAAAGATGGTTTTTGATGCTTTAGACTTAGAGATGAAGGTGCCAAATTTCCAGGCGGGACGTATGGTGAATTGAGAAGCAAGAGACAATATGGCCATATTGTTCATAGAGTTTTAGGAGGTTGAAATGCTTTCGATTGCTTATGAAGTTTCAGGATGCATTCCAACTTCCTGAGAAGGGTTCATTAGCACGTAAATGGATCTCTTTTAGTAGGAGCGTTGCGCAGTTGGAGATTTCTATTCTTTTCGGCGAAATAGGGCCATCCTCTTCGACACGGTGGAAACTCGAGCGACGGCTAAAGGGAAGCCGGATAAGCAAACGGCACCGACTCTGCTGCTGTTCCTTCGTCTCCAATCGTCACCAAGTGGCACAGTCTTTGTAGCTAGTCCACAGGAAGATCAGATCAGTCAGTTCATGTGCCTAATGACGATAACTGCATCGATCAGGCCAGCTTGAGGCATTTAGGCCCGAGGAAGACGAGAAAATATTTAGTGGCTTCAAACCACCACGTCACCAGCCTACGTGGCATGCGTAAGTCACTCAGAATCCAACACGTGTCACATGACATGGAATTAAAGAATTAGATCCGGAAGCTCTATTATCTCTCTCCTCTTAAAGGACTGACGTATGCAACAATAAATGATGAATTTATTACCTTCTCCCTCTCTCCCAAAACTCATTCAAGATGACGGCCTCCTTCTCAATAACAAAGAAATTATAATCACGGTAAAATCTAGGAGATTTTGTTAGGGGCTGGGCTTGGACCGACGTTATACGGGCCGGATCCGAGAAAGCCCATATATTCTCTCGGCCCGGCCCAAACATTTTATCCGAAACCCACGGGGTATCAACTATAACAAAGACACACACACACACACTCTCCGTGTCGCCACCGCACTCCGCCACCGAGCTCCGCCCCACCGTCGCCGGCGACTCGCGCCTCGTCAACTGCAGCTACTGAAGGTTTCTCTTCTTCCGTCTTTCAGACTCGACCGTCCCCTTCATCGGTGAAGCTCCATCCCTCTCTCTCTCTCTCTCTCTCTGTGTCTGTAGCTCAAGCATGTGCGGTTTTTTTCGGAGAAATGCGCGATTGATTCGATGAGTGATTCTTTTGTGTGCTGTGGGAGATGATCATTCGCCTCTGCCTGTTGAGTATGATGAAGAAGACATCGTAGTTGAGATAGAGGCACGAAAATGGCGGATTTGACTTTTAATGTCGTGTTGCCTCGTCTGCTCTGGTGTCAGTGTTTTCGTGTCGAACGAATGTGACCCTGATTCGGAGATAGTCGACCTCCTCGCATGCGCGTAATTCGACTTGGGTTTTCTTTTTGTTGCTTGAAAACGGTGAAGTAAACGTGTGATTGATCTCTCTAATGTAGCTAGCTAGTTTCGTATTTCGTGATGCTATATCCTTTTGCCAAATTTATCGTCTTTATCGGACGAATCGTTTTCCCTTCTGTTTTGTTGTCCACATTTTTGTTTTTGTAGAATGTTGCTCGATCCTGTTTTTCTTTTGCAGTGCGAGGGTTAGAATGCTTCATCTTCATCAGAGCATTGTGCTAAGTGGACACCGAGTTACTCATTTCGTGCTTCCCAGAGGAGCAACAGCAGTGATTGATACAGCAGTGAGATTCTCGATGGAACGCTCGGGTTGTTGTAAAGAAAAGTTATTTGCTTCTCATTCTACGCGTACCTCTTCCTCTCAAAGCTTAGCTTGCCTGGCATCATCAGAAGGTCTTGAGCCTTCAACCAGGTTGTTGTACTTGCCGCGTGTTATCACCGTTTCAATACACCTGAGATATTGTTTTTCTGCACCATGACACATCTTTCTTAGTTTACTCCTTTGGCTGCAACATGGATGATAGAAACATTGTTTTGCTTTGCAAAAATTATTATTAATTTTTTTTTTGGAGTTAGGAGATACTCTTATTTTCCTTTTTTCCTCTCAGCTGCAAACAGAAGCATTCGAGGATCATTTTAAGAACAATTTAAGTACTAGCTCTAAAAGCCATTCACATTACATATTGTATTATGATACTGAGAAAACTAAATCAGACATTGTAATATCGTATTCAGTTAGACTGAAAATTTATTGGAAAAGAAGGCTCATTATCTTTTGGAAATCTCTTTCTACTCCATGAAGCTCTCTCTATCTGCTTCTCTCCGAATTATTTATAGAAGAATCATTTTCTAAGATTCTCTTCTTCACTTTCTAGATTCATAATCCTTCCCAAGTCTTTTCTCCCTGCTATGATTTGGATGTGGTTGTCGTCCAACAGGGTACTTAAAGTTTTTGTGTTCAATTTAAATTTTTCTCCTTTTTCTATCTGTAAGATCTTATACGATTCTATATGGAACTTGAGTGTATGTTTTTGTATGGTTAAGGAAGGACGACTTACCGGCCCATGGATTAAGCGAGAAGATAGTTGGTGTGCTAGGAGGAGGGCAACTGGGTCGCATGCTATGTCAGGCAGCTTCTGAAATGGCCATTAAAGTCATTGTGTTAGACCCACTTGAAAGCTGCCCAGCAAGTGCAATTGCATACAATCATGTGGTTGGCAGCTTTGACGATAGTGCGACCGTGGAGGAGTTTGCGAAGAGGTTTTATTATGTACTAGTTATGGAATTGATATAATGCTTTTACAAAAGAAGTGCTTTATTGATTAAATAATTACTCATGTATGCTCTTTCTTCGTGGTAGTTAGATGTGAAATTTTGACGGTCGAAATTGAACATGTTGATGCTGCCACCTTGGAGAAGCTTGAGCAACACGGAGTGGATTGCCAACCTAAAGCCTCCACTATTCGAATTATCCAGGTTACTTTTCTTTAACAGTGACGTGGTGAATTTTATTTTCATGTAGGAGACTGTATTGTTTTGAATTCCGCAAATCTTTTTCTTGTTAATAAGGATTCTGTCAGCTGTAGACTCAGTAGCTTTGAGGATCGACATGCAGATTATGGAGCTGCTAGAGTTCTTCAATTGACACTCTTATTTAGGAGAAAATCACATTGCATATGTTTGAAAAATCCTGTGGTATCTCCACTAGACTTGGAGGAACTTATAATGTTCTCATCTTTATTCTAGACATGGATACATAAAGGAGCTATTAAAATGATATCGATGCATTGAAAGCAACTAAGTAAAAAATATGTCAATAAGCATGACAGAACCAACATACATTACTTTTTGAAAAACTTCTGAGGATGGCTTTACCTCATGTGCCATGTCAATGCAACAAAAACTGAAAGAACTATGGTCCCTCAGGTCTGACATCACCACTTAGGTTTTCTGGAGTGTGTTGTATTTCATTAGCTTGTGGGGAGTGAGAACACATTTAACATCCCTTGGACGTTTGAGGTACAGAGACTTTCCTACTGTAGGACCTATTGGAAATTGAGGTTTTGCTAAGACTTTTGTTGTTTAAGGATGGGATAGGATGGACTGGTTACCGGTTTTTCTGTGCTCCTCTTCCAATTGTAGATTAGCTAATGCATGTTACTTCTAATTGTATGAGACATGAAAGTCGTGAAACATGACCAAAAAATCTCTCTTAGGATTATATCGATTCTGGCAAAAGCTGAGTCAAGTAGTGAAGGTGAATGACTGCATATATGCATCATTGAATACCGAGACTACGGACATGTGTATTGTTAAGATATGAGTTTTTGATTTTAAGCGTTGCTTCTGGTAAAACAAAAGAAATTCCACTGATATAGGCTGTATTATTGGGCTGGGTAGTTTCTAGGTGTGCTCTAAAGAAGTTCTGTGACGTTCTACAAATTTGTTGATAGGGTATATTGTACTATTTTGAACCGCAGAGAAGATAAGTTCGGGTTGCCTTAGTCTCTCTTTGGATCATTGATTAATTGCTTATTTTTTTCCCAATATACTGGAATAATAGATGAATTTCCTTTTTAGGACAATGAACTTACTAAGATTTGTGCTCTCTTCCAGGACAAATATCTCCAAAAAGTTCACTTTTCCAGACATGGCGTTCCACTTCCAGAGTTTATGCAGGTTAGTCAATTTCCTTGATGTTTCTTGGACCTGCAGTGTGACCTGGACATTGGCATTCTAATTCCTTCTGTTGACTTGAGAATTGGCTGTGACAGATAGATGATCTCGAAGGTGCTGAGAGAGCTGGTGACCTATTTGGCTATCCCCTGATGGTAAAGAGCAAACGACTAGCTTATGATGGGCGTGGAAATGCTGTTGCAAAAACAGCCGAGGAGCTTTCTTCTGCTGTGGCTGGTATTTACCATCTCTTTTCTTACCTCTTCCTCTTGTAGTACTTAGAGTTCCTTCATTTTGGAGTTGCTCTCCATTTCTTGCGTAGTTCTATCTGATGATGGAAAGATTTTCTTTGTTAGTTTTATTTTTCAATTTCTTAGTACATTTGGTTACACGACAAGATGGATGATTTTGTAAATTCCGGACATTCTTTTTGTTTTTCTTGTCTTGTCCCGTCGATATTACCCTTTGATATTTCAGAACGTATTCTTGCATTCATCAGTCTACAAGTAGCTGGTTGAATTTTACTTTTGATCTTCATCTTCTGCAGCTCTTGGAGGATTTGAGCGTGGACTCTATGTCGAAAAATGGGCACCCTTCATGAAGGTGCACATCTCATAAGTATCATTAGCATCGACCATTAATGATTTTTGTTATAGCTAATTTTATGGTGTATTTTCCACCTTCTATCAACAAATTGTTCCACATTAATTCATTATTCATGGATTGCCTAGACATTGCCAATGAAGAGGGTTTGTAGAGCACTTACAGAGAACATAGAATTACAGTATTTGACAATTGTTTATTTTAATTTTCACTAAGAAAAAAAATGTTTATGGTGTTTGTGTCTTAATGCACATAAGTTATGTATGTGACAATTCACGTTAGTTTTCTCCAGCATTCCTTATGTAACTGTGTTATCTTGAATCTTATTACAGGAGCTTGCTGTCATTGTAGCAAGAGGAAGAGACAATTCTGTCTTGTGCTATCCTGTGGTTGAGACTATACACAAGTAGGTTTATTGTCTTTTATTTTATGGTTTATCATTATAGTAGGCTTAGGGCCCGTTTGGTTCAACTTTGCAAATGAGCCTTGGGGGAATGCAAATACCTTTAGGTTAAAGCCTCTTTGGGAAATGCAAATGGCGTTTGGTAAAAAATCCTTTGTGAAGCTACCTTGGCCCAAGTAGTGTTTGGCAAATTTTTTTTGCAAAGGGCTTTGGGAACTTTCTTTTTTATTAAAAAAAAAAGTTACCCTACCCTTCGATCCCAAGCGACGGCGGACTGGGTCGCGCGACCCCGGTGATGGCAGCCTGGGTCGTGCGATCCAGGCGACGGCGCCTGGGCGGTCGCATGACCTCAGTTGGCCGTCACCTGGGGTTGCCGAGGACGGCCGTCACCTGGGGTCTCCAAGGATGCACGATGCCGAGGATGCGCGACGCGAGGTCGCACGACCGTGGTCGGCCAGATCTGGGTCGCTCGACCCACAGTAGCTCCGGCGAAGACAGATTGAGGAAGAAGATGAACAGTGTTTTTTTAGGGCAAAAGTGGAAAACATAATTATCAATGAGGATAATATTGAAAAGAAAAAAAAAGTCATTAAATCGCTATTGTAGCATTTGGCCAATGGAGTCCCAAAAGCTAAATCAAACACCTCATATTTTCCCCAAGGGGCTTTAGAGGCTCAAAGCCCCTTCCCAAAGCTAAACCAAACCTCTTACTCTTGGCAGAAACTATTTACACATTTTATTATATTTCTTGCAATTTTAGGGAAAACATATGTCACATAGTTAAGGCGCATGCGAGTATACCGTGGAAGATTCGGAAACAAGCTACCGATATTGCATATAAAGCCGTTTGTTCCCTGGAAGGCGCTGGTGTTTTTGCCGTTGAATTGTTTCTCACTAGGGATGGTCAGGTGATTGTGGTCATCGATAACTTCCTCTACAATTTATTCTTATTGCAAATTGCCACCTCTATCCTACTTACACGCTTTCACTTGCCTTTAGGTCTTGTTAAATGAAGTGGCTCCTAGGCCCCACAATAGTGGCCATCACACAATTGAGGCTTGCTACACTTCTCAGTTTGAACAGCATTTGCGAGCTGTTATTGGTCTTCCACTTGGTGATCCGTCAATGAAAACTCCTGCTGCTATCATGTACAATATACTTGGTGAAGAAGAGGTACATTTTTACGCCTTCCTGATTTTTGAATTATTGCTTTGCCAACTAGACTACTTGGCTTTCATCATTTCTTTGTTTTATGCATTGAATGCACTTGACTTAGCCTCCCATCCTAAACCACCATGTTCTTGCTGCAGACACACACAACAAGCATGACAAACAAGTGCTTCCTTATTTTACTGCCAATTTACTTAAGAGGCACTCAGTGCTGCACTTGTAGCTTGGTTATGGGGATTGGGGCTTACACAGTAGACTATTCTAATTATAAACCTTTGGCTGCTTTTATCGTGTCTTGTAGCTATTATATATGTGGACTGCTTTTATCTCGAAATCTTTGAGTTGGTGTCATTTATGTGGTCTCATTATTGCTCTAGATGCTTATAGTAAAAGGTTTGACATGGTACTTATTGTGCTTAGGGGGAACAAGGCTTTCGTTTGGCTCATCGGTTGATTGGAAGGGCATTGAGCATAAAAGGAGCTGCAATTCATTGGTATGATAAGCCAGGTCAGATGATCAAGAACACCACCACCGCCCCCTTCCCCCCCAAAAAAAAAAAAACAACCCCAAGGCGACAACCTTGGCTCCTACTCTCTCACTCTTGGCCAGTAATTAACTACATATTCTTATTGGTGCTGTAGAAATGCGTAAGCAAAGGAAAATGGGTCATATTACTATTGTTGGCTCCTCAATGGGCACTGTGGAAGCACAACTAAATGCTTTGCTAAGTGAAGAAGGCAGGGATTGTCAGTCAGCAGGTTAGTTTTTTCGTCTTTTGGTCTAGAAATAGCCCTTTTATGGGGTAGAACATGGTGAATTTCTTTGTTTTTCTTTATATCTCTCTCAAATATTGTCTTCTATCTGGGCCTTTCTTTCCTGGAAAACAATAGAAATACGTGCAGACCCCTGCTTACAAAAATATTTTAGGGGGGTTAGGTATGTTTGGATTCATAAGCTACAGGGAATGCTTTGAGGTTGAGTAGTACAGCACTTAAATAAAGGTACAAGTTCGAGTGTGGTTGGAGACGCAAGATTTTGCATTGAAACCATGAAAGGTTGCTTTTCTCACGGTTGCGAGTTGCATTCCTTTGTCTCATGTGCTAAGGAAGCTTAGAAAGTAGGCTTATCTCTGTTCAGACACCTGTGATTGCACTAACAACTGAGCTCCATTTTACAGCATCTTTAGTGATTACTGCCTATTTGAAAAATTCTCAAAGAAAAAAGGATTACATTTGCACTGGCTATAAAATTGTTTCTGTGCTAAATGGAGCTTATACGCCATTGCTTTGTCATGATTATTGACAATGGCACTAGCTAAATGCAGTACAACTGCGTGTTGGGATTATAATGGGCTCAGACTCCGACCTTCCTGTGATGAAGGATGCAGCAAGGATACTAGATGCATTTGATGTGCCTTACGAGGTTAATTATGTTCTGATTATATTCTCAAGATTACATTGTTGGGCAATGAACTTACATGCCTAGTGACAAGTTGAACTTATCATATGAATAAAAACTTTGCAGGTGAGAATAGTTTCAGCACATCGAACCCCTGATGTGATGTTCAGATATGCTTCCTCTGCTCAGGAGAGGGGCATTCAAGTTATTATTGCTGGTGCTGGTGGTGCAGCTCATTTGCCAGGCTAGTTGTTTTATGTCCTGATCACTAGAATATTGTGTGTAATCGATGGCTTTTTACCGTTTAAGAGACTCCGTCTTCTGTTTCCAGGTATGGTGGCTTCCCTGACTCCATTACCGGTTATTGGTGTGCCTGTTCGTGCTTCTGTATTGGATGGTCTTGACTCACTTTTATCGATAGTGCAGGTACTTCTTTTCTCTAATTATAGAAAAATTGGTTCTTATTACTGTCGAATTCAGTTTTTGATGGGAGCTGTGGTCCTTGATTATTTTAAAATCCACCTTTTATGCTGCAAAATGGTAACTTGGAGAAGGTTTTATGTCCTCCCAAAGGGCCACGTCTTCTGTCCACTCAACCAATCACAGAATACGAAATTTTTTTTTTGGGTGGAGTACAATGAAATACACGACATTTTGCGTGGCGTCATTGGTTTTTTGGTGTATAGGTGACACGGTCCTCTTAGAGCACCAAAAATCTCTTAGCCTCATGACTGTGTTTGTCGTGCTTTATTGCAGATGCCAAGGGGTGTCCCTGTTGCTACTGTGGCAGTAAATAATGCCACAAATGCTGGTTTGCTAGCCGTTAGAATGTTGGGAGTTGGTGATCCAGACCTACTGGTTAGGTTGGTCTTTTCGTCTCACTTTAGGATGTGGGGTTTGCGATTGTAACGGAAGTAGATGTTATGATATCGTCTGTAGTGGAACATCAATGGTGTTCATGGTGAAATTGGGTGAAATGCATCCGTGCTCATTTGATCTCTTTATCTTTCACTTGCGCAGAATGAGCCAGTACCAAGAAGATACGAAGGAAGATGTCCTCACAAAGGCAGAAAAATTGCAGAGAGAAGGTTGGGAATCATATCTGAATCCTTGACGGTCCCGAGCGTGCGCCAGTTTTGGTAGTTATGATTGTTTTTGGTTTCTGTTGTACTTCTTATTCAGTCCCAAGGTACATGTAGATCATTGTCATTCATAGGAAACTAAATAGTCAATGGAAATGCATAGTCATTCCCAATGCATCTTCTTTCCATAGAAACGATAATTTAAGTCAATGTAACATTAGATATCAGTATGAAACCGATGCTTGATGACGACATACCAAATTGTTTCAGTAACAAAAGGAGCCCCCAATCTGGGTTTCCGATCTCTCACCATAATGCAATGTACCAATTTTGGCCATTTAGTTTATGCTGTCTTTGCCAATTGTCATTCATTTTCTTTTTCTTTTTCGCACCTGAATCAAAAGAATTTATACTATTGGTGTTTAATATTCTGCTCTTTGTTCAATGATAGTTTTATCCGTAACAATCATAGTGCATGTGAAGAATTACCGCATTAAGTGCGAGCTAACCTTCCTTTTATAGCTTCCGGGAATGCAAAAGAAGTCTCATGCAATGCTCAAAGGAAGCTGCTATAGTTTTTATGTGTTTAACTGGACGTTTTCCAAGCTGCGCAGCCTTATTTGAGAGGATTCAAGTTGTCCATTCATGGTTGTGTACTCAAGCAAATGCACACAAACCATGGAAGGCCTGCATCGTTTTTTACCTCTGTATTGAGATGGTTTATAACACTGCATCTGGAAGTTTCTGTTTAACAAACAAATGTTTATAATTTCGTGTGATTTGTGTACGAGCAAGCCGAGGGTCTTCGCACATGCAAAACGCCTTCAATTTAAATGCGAAGAAGCCAATTCTGGAGATGCTATAAGTGAGAAAGTGAGTTTGAGCGCGGCAGCATCGTGCATGAAAAGTTAAGTCGGAGACTCTTCGAACCTGCAATAACATGAATTGCTTGATTTTCAAGCGAAATTGAGATATCTCGTCCTTCTTCTCTATCGTTTAGTTGCCGCATAGATAAGGGAACTGAAGATAAAGCCTGCCTAAAATCAGATGCAATCCCCGGATGGGAAAAACTACGAAAAGACCCATGAAGTTGAACGCCAAAGTCTTTAATGTTAGAAATAGATTATTGGATAACAACTTAGCAAGTTCAATACCAAAATTGATCAGTAAAGCTTCCCCCTCTTACTGCATAAGAGCATCATTTACCTATCGATGAACTCTCACCCAGAGTCACCAAAACTATCATGCCCGGCGACTTCGGAACTGCCCGACTTCTTAGTTTCACCCTTGCTACTTCCCCCCAGGTTTCTGCAATGAAAGAAAAAGAGACGACTGTGAATAGGAATACGATAACGATGTTTCATACATGATGGAGGCAGATTGGGAAAAAGAAACGAAAGGAACGGGCGGAGGTAATGACAAAGGTGGAGGGGATGATAACCAAAGAACCAGGATGTTCTGCTAAGTAGGTTTGACATGTGCAGCCTGAGAGGTATTACTGATTTCCGCTCCGCCGATCATCTCACAAAAATTCGGTCACAGCAGTACCAGTAACAGCGGCCCGGCTACTCCAATATGGTCCTCAGGCGGGGACGTTTCCAACATCAGAGAGGATTAAAAAACGAGTCCATTCGCAATTTTTGCTGCTAACCAAGTTCATGTATCAACCCCGGTTACCTCGTCCCACGAAATTTTACGAGACCCGACGCTTATCTTTGTTCGGTGAATTCAAGTTAGGAGGGAAATGGAAGGAAAGCCATGATTCATGATGCCTACGGTGAACTCACACAACCTAATTGCTACAAGCCATTCCATGCATAAAAATGGGACAAAAGAGAAGAATCTCACGATATCATGAAGGCCAAGTTAAGCTTCCTGGCAGCTTCTCTATCCTGCTCCGCCTTCTTGTCTGCCTCGTGCTTCCGCCTTTCTTCCCTCTCCCTCGTCATCTCCTTCACGAAGTCAAAGCACATTCAACGGCAAGAATCAGACACGACATATAGCTTCTAAAAACAATTTCGCAGGTTGTTTCACATATACTAGAAACATCAAAGGAGGCAACAAGCAGAACGAGGACCGCAAAGATCCGCTGCTGGGAACCTCGGGAACGCATTCGTTCTCCGGTTGCGCCGAGATTGAGGATACAAGAACGAGAATCTGAAGATCGCAGAAACGGAATTTGAACAAAAAAAGTCGAGACCTGAATGCTATCCTTCCCGCCACTGAAGAAACGAGTTGCTCCACGAGCCGATGCAGCGCGCTGGTTCACGCTCGCTCTGCTAACAGCAATTCTCGTGGCCATTGTACCGCTGAAGAGTCGGATAGAAAATAACGACATTATGGTGCCCTAACCTAAAGCCTGATATGTATTTATAGAAGTGATTAATTATAATTAGAGTACAAATAAAAAAATAATTACAGAAGGAGCCCATAATACATATCAATAACATATGAATACCTCTCAATTCGAAGTAGGTGTAACAAATGAGAGATTGAATATCAATAGTGCATACCACGGATTAGGTACTCCTTTGTTGAAGATGTCGGATTCGATGTAGGCACATAGGAGAAACCGTAGATCACCCGAAGCAACCTGCTCTCTAACAAAGTGAAAATCTTGCTTAATGTGTTTGGAGCGAGCATGAAAAGGGTTGAGAGCAATGTAGTGGCAGAGATGTTGTTACAATAAACCGTGAGAAACAAAAAGTGATACCCCAAGCTAACGAAATAAATGGAGAATCTAAATAGTTTCAGTAACACAATGAGTTACAACACGATACTTAGCCTCTATATTAGAACGGGCAACAATAGTGCTTCTTGGCACTCCATGAAATAAGATTAGTGCCTAGAAAGACAAAAAAACCTGAGGTGGACCATCTACTGTTAATGCACCTAGCCTAGTCTAAGTAGCATTCAATGAAGCGGGAGAACACTAGGCTGATGTACCAGTTAAATACATACCGGTATATATGTTTAACAACTTGAAAATGAGGTAATCGGGTTGATGCATGAACTGACTAACCAAGTCACAAAAAAAAAAAAAATCGAGCATCGTCATCGACACATACTGTAGTGCACCAATCATTTGTCAATGCAATGTCGGAGAAGCTAGGAGTTCACCATCCTTTGTAGACAACAAAGTCTTCGCCAAGGGAGTAGACACAAACTTGACCTTAATGAGGTACTTTAGTCTGAGATAAAAGAATACCATCAGAGTGGTGATGGGCCTCAATACCAAGGAATAGTGAAGTGGTCCGGATCCTTCATATCAAATTCCTGATAGTCAATTAATCAAAGACCGTAATAAATGAGGAGTATCATTAGTGACAAATATATCATCAATATATAAACGCTCTGAGAGGAAGCATATATGAAAAGCCTATTGAAGCGTGGAAGGCAAAGAGGAAATACGATCTTTATGAATACTGTCCGTTAACCAATCATGCACGTAAAGTTTGTCTTAAACCATAGATGGCTTTTTGTAAATGGCACACATGATTTGGGGACTCAAACTGAAATTTGGCGCATGTAAACTTTCTTATAAAAGATGTGGTATAAGAAGGCATTTTTAAGTTGACCTATGGCCCATTTCGAAGAAATCGCAAAATAGAGAATAACTCAAATCGTAATGGGTTTAACGACAGGGCTAAAGTTCTCGTCATAATCGAGTCTGACCAGTTGCTTAAGTCCATGTGCAATAAGGCGAGCTTTAAAGCATTGCATAGCTTTATCGGATTCTTTCTTGATGTCCAATACCTATTTACATTCGACTAAATTCTTAAAAAAATAAGGCGGGACAAGATTCCACGAATGGTTGGTGACCAAAGCATTATATTCATTTGTGGTGGCCACTCTCCAACATGGATTAAGATTGACCTTAGAGTAGCAACAAGGTGTCAATTCGTGGAAAGAGAAAGAGAGATTAAGAATTTTCTGGGTTTAAAAATTCTAGATTTGGCATGAGCGAAAGGATTTCTGAGTCGGTTAAGGGAGGAATTAGGTCGGGAGAGGAGTCAGGTCGCGAGGGAGGGGCGGGCAAAGAGAAAAAAAATGGAAATAGGTTGAGTAGGCCAAAAGGAGGAAAAAGACGGATTAGGAGGTTGGGCTAGAGAAGAGAAGAGGCGCCTATGAGAAGTTTGACTTGGATAGGAGGGGAGAGGGCCGCAGAATGAGAGAAGGAAGAACGGGTTCGCTAGGTAGAAAAACGAGAAAGAAGCGGCTGATTTGGAACAGTGGGTCACGGGACTCCGAGCGTTGAAGGGATTTTGTGAAAAGGGGAAGTCGTTCTCATAAAATCGAATATGACGACCGATAAAAATAAGTCCATTGCTTCTTGTGATGAAGGATGCGGCAGGGATTCTGAACGCAGTTTGATGTGCCTTGGGACTTCTTATTCAGTCCCAAGGTGCATGTACAGCATTGTCATCTATAGGCAACTCATGGTCAATGGAAATGCATAGTCATTCCAGTGCATCTTCTCCCGATAGAAATGATAATTTAAGTCAATGTAATATTAGATATAGATACGAAACTGATGCTTCAGAGAAAATATCCGATGGTTTCGAAGCATCACGTCAGCTGCTCAGCTGCTGTTAAATGAAATGAAAAGTAAATCTGTAACGGAACAGCTTCCTCCAATAACAAGTAAGCTGGAGAGATCATGCATGAAAAGTAAGCTTGGAGACACTTTGAATGGAAAAAGTAAGTTTGAGCATGGCAGCATCATGCATGAGAAAGTAAGTTTGAGACACCCTCGAAGCCGCAACAACATGCATTACTTGATTTCATTCAAAAGTGAGATCTCTCATCCTTCTTCCCCTATCTTTTAACAGCCACATGGATAAGGTTATTAACGGCAATGCCTAAAATTGGAAGCAGATTTTCTCATCTGTAAGTCATGTAATCCACAGATGCAACAGATAGGGGGAAAAACTACGAAACGACCCATCAAGTTAAATGTCAAAGTCTTTAATGTTAAAGGAAGATTGTTGGACAACAATTTTGGAAGTTCAATACCAAACGCATGAGTAGAGGTTCCCCTCTTACTGCATAAGGGAATAATTTACATATTGATGAACCCTCACCCAGAGACAAACACATTTATTATCCATGATGACTTCAGACACGTCCGCCTTCTTAGTGAAGTTCAGTCACTACTTCTCTCCAGGTTTCTGCAATGAAAGAAAAAGAGACAACTATGAATAGAAAACGATAATGATGTTTCATACATGATGCAGGCAGATTGGGGACAAAGAGGGATGGAGGTAATGACGAAGGTGGAGGGGATGGCAACCAAAGAACGAGGATGTTCAGATAAACATATATGACATGTGCAGCCTAAGAGGTAGACTGAATTAAGCTCCTATGATTATCTTACACGCTCAACACAGCTACTCCGATATGGTCATCAGCTGGAGACATTTGCCACATCACAAAGGATAAAAGAGGGGTTGATTTCCATTTTTGTTGCTTTATTGGAGGGATTGCATCACTTTTTCCATTGCACTGTTTTGTACTAAAAAACATGTACATCGCACTTATATAGACGAAGAAGTAGGATCCTTTCCAAGCCAGATACCTAGGAGGAGAAAGAAAGATAGCTTATCTAGGAATGCTTTACATATCATACTTATCTAATACCACTGAACAGATAATGAGAAACGCTGAATCCAAAATAGTTCTTGGCTTAGTCTCTCAACCACTTCTCACTCTTGTAACTATGCTTTTGACCCTTACCGTCAAAAGACAAAATACAAAATTCACAACGTACAGGCAAGACCAACATACGGCATACCACTAACAGGGATGCCCCAGTGCAACTTGCTCTTCTGGATCCAGTCAAGATGAAACCAGCTCTATGTGGTTATACACCCCAATGCATCGATCCAGGAATGATAGCACTAGATGAATGCACACAGAATATAGCGTTTCTTCCAAACAAAATCCTATGGGCACTACTGTTCTCAGACGTTACTTTTCATTCATAAGGGCACATTAACGGGGAGTCACCTCTAGCGATTGTTCCATTCTCATAGCCGTTTATGCCAATTAAATCTAACTAGTAATGCCGGATTTTGCAGATGAGCTGTTCAATCTAACTTAGGTAACCCAAATTGCTTCCACTACCCATAAATTTTGCTACAGATATTCCCTCAACAACCACCACTGCTTTCACCGGGAAGGCCCTCAGAAAAGACCAAAGAAACGCGCTCGGTGTCATCAGGAGTGGAAAAGGGAACGAAGCAAACTGACGTTTAATTTTGTTCGGCAATTCAAGTCAGGAGGGAAATGGATGATGGAAAGGCAACGGAAGCAAAGCCATGAATTCATGATGCCTATGCTGAACTCGCACTAACCCATCGCTCCACGCCACACCCCATGCATCAATGCATCAACAGAATCAAAGTAAAAAAAATTGGATTCACATGGGAGCAGAGCATCTCGTGAAAAAGGCGACGACCGAGCTAACCTGCTCCGCGGCCTCTTTTCCCTTCTCCGCCTTCTCTTTCTCGGCCTTACGCTTCAGCTTCGCCAGCCTCTCCCTCTCCATTTTCTTCGCGAACCCACAAGCACATTCAATCGCCAAAAAGAACACAATCAGACACGACGTACCAAGTTAAGGAAACGCTACCCGAAAAATCCAACACACAGCTCCCAAGAAACCCCCCGGCAGGTTCCACCGCGTAATGCCGTCCGAGGTAGTTTGTCGCACCCGCACGCTAGCAACATCAGAGGAGGCAACAAGCAAGCAGAACGAGGGCCTGAAAAATCGAAGATCGAACGAAGGAGGAGAAGAGATCCGAGACCTGAATGTAGACGTTCTCGGCGGCGCGTTCCTCTTCGCCGAGGATCTTCCCCTTCCCGTCGCTGAAGAAACGAGCCGTTCCGGCGAGCCGGTTCGCGCTCGCTCTGCTCACCGCGGATCTCATCGCCATCTCCGTCTCTTCGTCTCCGACGATCAGTGCTCGACTGATTCCTCTCGATTTCGATTTCGAAGGACTTGACTACCGAGAGCAATGAATGAGTGAGTAGTTTAGCAGGCGAGTGACGGTCGGTTCACCAGCAAAATAAAGGAAAACTCGGTCCGGTTGGTCCGGGCCGGGCAGGTGTTGGGCCGGTTCTCATCCCGGTCCGGTCCACAGATTCCCCTCTTTCTCCTTCGTCTTCTCTCTCTCGCCCTTTCGTTTTGCTCTCGCGGAAAGAGAGACCAATCAGAGTTCTGAGTTCTGACCTCCGACTTCTGCAGAACTCGTCGACGAGAAGCCGGCGAAGAAGACGACCGCGCATCCCATCTTCATCGGAGGACCTCGTTTTGAACCATGTATCATCCCACCAGAGGCGGCGTTCGCGGCGGCCGAGATCGTAAAGCTCTCTCTCTCTATCTCGCTCTCCGCATCGTTTTTTCTTCAGCTTTCCAGCGTTCCTATTACTCTTTGCTTGGTTCGAAATCGCGGAGCTCAAAGCTTGAATTGGATGATTTGTGTGAGATGATGGAACGCTAGAATTTCCACGGGTGTGAAAATCTGTCTCCACTGCGTGCGTGCTTGCTTTTGGCTGCCGGCGGTGACCTAGCCATAGAATTATTAGGTTTACGATTTGTTTTGGGTTTCCGCTTGCGAGATGCGAATGCGATGGGCGGTGATTCATAGAAACCCTAATTGTTCGAATCGATACTCCTTTCTTTTTGGCTAATAATGTAGACGCTGGCACCAATTGATGGTATAGATACTTGCGAATTTGCTCGTTGCATTCTCGTCAAGTGACAATTTTGTGCAGGATGAGCTTGTTTTATCTTTTGAAACGATGATTTCGATGCTTCTTTTTGATGATGTGTTTTTTGTGTATGATCCGCAGAATTTAGCTGGGAAGACGTTAAGGCCGACAAACATCGAGAGAATTATATCGGTCACAGCCTAAAGGCACCTGTTGGTAGATGGCAGAAAGGTAAGTCAATGCGGCGTGTTGGTGGTTTTGTTCGATTTCTTCCCCTTTAGAGACCCTTCCAAACCAAATAGGAAAGCATGTAGTGTCGGTTCAACTTAGGTTTACATAACCGAAGCAATCAAGATTTTGGCCTTGTTTCTATTTGGAAAAGATTGCACATTATAATACCCCATCGGCAAGTAATTTGCAGTCGAGTGTAACATAAAGAGGATGCCATTTCCACATGCCGATTGTTTCATTACTTCCGGTTGCACGTCATCTCATTTTTCAATGCAATACTGGAGTAACCTTTTTGAGTTTGGTCTGTGTAGACTTCCATACAGATGTTCTTTTCTTGTTGTATTGGACGCTCTATTTTGGGGGTTGCCTCAATTGGCTATGTTAGTTTTTGTTTGCGCTGTCAGACATGTTTTTAGCAAAAACCTATTAAATTATGGAGAACATGGCATGCCGTTCAGTAAATAAGGTGTGCTCTTATCTGGCCGGACTCCCGTCTGATTGAGCGAGTTTATCTTTAGGATTCAGTCTATGCTTCTTGTTCTGTTTAGTCCTTCGTCTCATATATTCATTATTCAAAAGCTTCAGCCTATATCCAGATAGCATTAAAGAACTCAACTGTTGAAGCGATGCTGTTGCTAAGAGGATTTTCTTTGGGTTGGATTAAGTTGAGCTGCCTTTAATAATGCTACGTTTTATTTTATTAATTTGAACAGGAAAGGATCTGCACTGGTATGCCAGGGATAAGAAATCAGAGGCTGCAGATATGGAGGCTGCTAAGGAAGAGATAAAAAGAATCAAAGAACAAGAGGAGCAGGCAATGAGGGAGGCGCTTGGATTAGCTCCTAAGCGCACTAACACAAATCAGGGCAGTCAACTTGATAAGCATGAGCTGAAAGAACTGGTGAAGCGAGGCTCCACGGCAGAGGATTTGGGTGGAGGTCATGCTGAAGCAGCACGTGTACATGGTCTGGGTTTCGCAAGGTACATGTTTATTGAATTAAACAATCATGAATTGTTCTTATAATACACTCATGGCAATGTAAATTTGTGGGATAGATACTCCAATTTCTCCCTTCTAAAACCATGAATACTTTGCCACTAAAATTCTCTTTTCAATTGATGATCTGAGATTTTGGCAAACAATATGATCGAAGATATGATTGGAGTTTGGACTAGATTACTGCTTATGCACATAGACAGGATGTCGCAGTCTGAATGCAGATAATGCGGTTTTATTTGCCAAAGAATCCAAACAACATGAGATAGGATTTCTTTTGGTTGACATTTTGTGATTTTGTCTGATTAATTTCCTTTTTTACCTGTTATGGAAATGCATAACTCCAACTGAGGTTTCTACTTATCCTGTGAAGTTGGGAGTTCCCATCATGTAAATATGTACATCGCAGCCTTTTGCTCTATTTGTTTATTATTGTTTAACCTTAGTTCTGGCGGTGTGCCCATCTGCAGACTGCCTCGTCCCTGGGAAGAATCAAGTTCTGTTCAACCCAGTCAACCAGTAGTTTCAGCTGACATAGAGAAAGTTGTTGCGCCTGCTCCTGACTCAGCAGCAAGGAAAGCAGATTCCAGTGAGGAGTCTGAGGATGAACGTAGCAGGAAGAAGAGGAGGCGGGAGGAGAAGAAGCGTGAAAAGCATGACAAGCGCGAAAAGCATGACAAGCGCGAGAAAAGATATGCTCGTGATTCTGAAGACAAGAAGCACCCCAAGCACAAGGGGAAGAAGAGACATGATTCAGAGTCAGACTAAAAGTCTCTCTCGTCAACTATTGTCATTCCAATAACGATAGATTCTACTACTTGTTTTCGTAAGGCACTGTAAAAGTTGCACCTTTGTTGGAGACTACTATTCATTGGCAGAGCAAGCGGATGGAGAAGAACACTGAGCGAACCCTATATTTAGTCTCGCAATCACGAAATTTTTCGAGGATTGGAGGGGATTGAGGCCTGATAGTTGCAACCAGCCCCTTGCACTTTGGCCTCGGTGTCGGGATGTACTGCTTCGCGGGGGGGCATGTACCCTGGTAAGTTTCATGCTAGACCTTTTGTCCCCGGGGTACAGCTTTGTGTGAGATCTTTGATGCTCATCAGCTAGTTCTGATAATCGGAAGTGTCTTGTATGCGAAACTGCCTGAAAGTTTCCATGACAACTATGTCTTATGGTCCTGTTTTGGTAGTTCTATGCGATAAGGAAATTTGATGCTCTTAGTGTGGTTCCACACCGTTTCCTTTTAACCTTTATATATATATATATATATATATATATATATATATATATATATATCATTGCTTGGACCCTCCATTAAAAGCTTGTGAGCGAAGAAAGATGTCCTTCACCCAGAAGTTGCATTCTACCTTTGGCAACATGAAGGAGAGTCGAGGATTAGGCGGCGGACGAAAAGACAAATTCGTCACCCTAAAGCGGCTTATTCTATTTTGGGTTTGATAAAGAAAGGTCGAGTCCCGTGGCCCGACGCACCATCGCGGAATCGAAAAGCAGAAAATTATAATCGTTCGAATTCGAATTGAAATTTAGCGAATGGATGAGATTTGTTGCATCTTAATCGAATGGTAAAAGATTATAAGAGTATCGGCCCCTTTGTGACTATAAAACAGCCCAATAAAGAAAGAAGCCAGGACAAAAAGTGATTTGATATCTTCATAATCGCAATCATTGACCACGCAAGTTGCCTTCACAGCGAGAGGGGTACCGTCCGTGACGTTCATAGTTGTGACATAATTCTAGGTTTTTTTATCCCTTGACCTTTACGTTTTTATCTTAAACATCAAAATAAATATAAAATTTCCTTAACGATGGAATATTCAAAGATAAATAAACATTGGCATTAGAATCGCTCTAATTTTATCAATAAGCTTTCATGGGTAGACGATATTATCTTTTTGATGACGAGATGCTAAAACGGAGTTTTTTTAAAAAGGATTTCAAGATTCATGACCTCTCAATATTTTCATTTTGCTATAAATCTTAGACACATGTTGGTAGCCCTTAGTTGTTCCTTGATCTTCACGTTTTCAACTTAAAACATTAAAATAAATATAGAATTTCTTTAACGATAGAGTATTCAAAATCTTCAAAGATATATAAACATCGGCATTAGAGTCACTCTAATTTTATCCGTAAGTCTTTATAGGTAGACGGTATTATCTTTTTTATGACGAGATGCTCAAATGAGGTTTTTTTTAAAATGATTTCAAGTCCATAATCTCTAAAATATTTTCATTTTGCCATAAATTTTAGACATAAGTTGGTAGACCTTGAGGATGCTACATAGCATAATCAAATTTATGTATATCTCGGTTGGGCCATCGTTTTATTCCCTTTTTTTTAATCATTTTTAAAATGTTTTAAGCATAATAATTGTTCTTTTTTTCTTTTAATTTTTTTTTTATCTGAGAAGAGCTTTTTTTTCTCTTTAATATATGTGCACGGAACCTCAATTTTTCTCCCCTACTGCACCGAAAAGCAGGTTGCTTTCTGCGCTTTTTCCTTGCGCCAGTTACTCGTGTTCAATCGGTGGAGCAAAGGCGATTCCGATCTTTGACGAATTCGTATCGTCACTGCGATCGTCGGTGGCTGCGGCGGTCGGTGGCGGTGGTCGGTGGTTGTTGTCGCCGGTGGTGGAGGCATCCTCGATTTCTCGAAGCGGTGGGAGAGAAGGAGACGAGGGAGTAGGAGGAGAAGATGGTGTCGGCGAACCAGGAAATGGCGGTCTATTGCTTCGACACCCTCGTCGCCCATTACAACAGCGAGGAAGCTCCTCCTCCTGCCTTCGATGCTGGACAACAGTCTCTCTCTCTTTCTCTGTCTCTGTCTCTCTCTGCATGTGTTTGTGTTGTGGTGTTGGTGCTCAAAGGTCGAAACTTTAATCGGAACATGCTGAGCTCGCGAAAGCTTGCACCTTTTGGTGTTGCGTGGGACGTGATGAGCGAATTATCAAAATTAGCAGATGGGTTGTTTAGTGCGGGTTCGATCGCTTATTTCTGTTGTCTGATTGTTCCTTTTTCTGCCTTTTTAAGCGGGCAATCATAACTGTCTTAGTTTTGTTCGGCATCCTTGTTTGTGTTTTTTCAACGGAAAGTTAGTTTGCTAAGGTTACATTGCTCCGATTAGTTGTATCATTTGTGTTTTTGGAGTGATCAGATAACCTTCTCATGGACATTCTTGCATGCATGCGTATTTTATCATTGCATTTACTTTTCCTCTAAAGTTTGTGTGATATGAACGCATCTTATACTCTCTGGACATATGTCATTTTGGTGCTTTTGTGCGAGTTAATTTGAAAAGAAATTATGGACATAAAAGGATGACCAGGGCGTTGTTCTCTTTTCACTGCCCCGCAAGCTATCAAGGGTCTTAGACAAGGAACCTGCAAAGCACCGGCCTTTACATGGTTCTTGGGTGAATTTACTTGTGGTGGCTTAGTAAATTTTATTGATAAATTAAATACTTCCCTGTTAGCTGGTCCTCATGGTACCTTGGGAGAAAAAACATGAAACTTGGTGCACTAGACACGGCCCTCACGAACAGTGTAACTTTTTTAAATTGCATTAGACGAGAAATATTGGTGGTCTTGGCATTATTTGTCCTGATCTTTAATATTATGAATTTGGCTGTGTAGGGAAGGTGCTTTTGTTCACTCAATCTTGACAAGTTTATACCAAAAGCTTTGTGTGGTCTTCTTTTTAGAGCATATAGATTTTTCTCGAGCCAGTTTTTAGTGTTATAATTGTTCTCATCATAAATGCAGCCCATTATTTGTGACTTGGAAGAAAGTGGTCAATGGCAGCGAGCCTCGTCTTCGTGGATGTATTGGAACTCTGGAAGCCCGTTGCTTGATCAATGGTTTTAAGGACTACGCCTTAACCAGGTACACTGACTGTCCATCTTTGTATTTGCCACATTTCTTCTCATTAAACTCATTTTGATAGCTGGAATCACTTGTCCCTTTCATGCTCGTTTGAAGATACTCAAATGTGATGACTACTGGCTGATCCTTATGGGTATTATCTGCGGGCACATGTGAGCACTATGTAGCTATAGAAAGTGCCTCTCTTTGGTCTAGGCAGTAGGGACTTTTGTCTTGGATAATTATATTTTTTTATTCCTTTATGTAGAGACAGAAACTGGTAGGTTCAAGTAAATTTGATTACATTGGACTTGTGTCTAATTGATTATTCTGAGTAGCTGTGGTCACAGTGATATCTCAGTTGTCCTGTTAAGGTGCTCCAAGTACATTACTTGCAATTTTCTTCCCTGAAAAGGACATGGTGTAAACAGTAACTTTTTTCCCACAAGAAATTCATCAATGTAAGTTCTACTCAAGGGATTCATAAATCGTTCTTGATCAATTTGCCGAAGTTTAATCTGGCAGCTTTGCTCCAAAGGGTAGTTTTGATGTTGATTGACTCAAATTGATGAGGCTACTGCCCATTTACATTCTTATCTGGCTGTTGGCTCGCATGTAGGTTAGGTAGTTAATTTGCAATTTGGCTGACTTGCTGTGAGGATGCTTCTACTGCCCTGATAGATCATAGGATTTGATAGGATCCTACTTCTTTTAGTGTCACCTACAATCTTAAACCATAACAATTATCATTTTCTTGATCTCTGTCACTGGTGATTTCATTATGGTGTTACTTCTAGAGCGTGTTTAGATTTTTGTTGTTTTTTACTTGCTGACTAGAGAGGAGGCTGGTGGATTCGGGCACCAAGTTACCAATAGAGGCTTTAATGCTTATGTGGTCCCAGTAGGCGCTGTATGGTGAACAAATTTAGAAGAAATATTTTTCTTTTCCCAGTTCATGGCAGTTTTTAACTGGGGTATTTGTGCAGTTGAATGCCATCCCCTTGTAAAATGATGTGGCCAACCAAGTGTCATTTTCTTTGATTTGCATTCATCTTAGTCTTGTAAGAATTTGCTTTTATCAAATAAAAAATCGTGTGATTCTCTGTTTTTGCAGCGCTTTAAGGGATCGAAGGTTTCCTCCTATACAGGCTAAAGAATTGCCTTTTCTCGAATGTACTGTTTCCATCCTCACTGATTATGAAAATGCTAACAACTATCTTGATTGGGAGGTAAGTAGATATCATCTATTGTAAAAGAAATGGGTTTTGGGGGACTTTACGTATTTTCTATGTCCAATTACTAGTCATAATCAGCATACTTGATGACCTTTTGTATATGGAAGTGATTAATTGTTTCTGAATTTTGGTAATTTCAGTGGAGTAGTTATTGTCTCATCAAATCTTTTACTGGCATGTGTTGATTAGCATGTTGAGCACTATTAGATATGTCCACAAACAAAAAAGGCAGATGCCTTTGTGTTCCTCTCTCCGCTTCAGAGTGTTATCTAGTTCTTGCTTTCGTTGAATTAGCAGATGGTGTCTCTCTCCCTGGGTTATTTGAAAGGTCTGTCAAGACTCGACTGTTTCAAGTGTCAAGACTTTCTTGTAGTTTTAAGTGTGCTTGCTAAAAGGGCACAATGCAGGATTATTCTCTCTCCCCCAGTGCATATTGATCCGTAGATATCTCCAAACAGCCAAAAATATTGCAAGCTCTCTCGGATTATTCTCTCAGTGTAATAGATTATAGTATATTCATTTTATGAAGTTCTTCAGTTCTTTTGCAGGTAGGGACGCATGGTATAATTATTGAATTCACCGATCCTGATTATAATACACGCCGAAGTGCTACCTATTTGCCTGAGGTGGCTGCCCATGAAGGTAATCACTCATCTCCCACGGACAAAATAATGGCTTCGATATATGCAGCCAGTTGATGAGTCGGGGATCTTAAGATTCTTCGCATCATTTTCAAGATTGAATAAGATGAAAGGACATTCTTTTTGGAGTTGTCTGCTGCTAATCTTTTAGTTGTACAATAAAAGTACATAATAAACCCCAAACCCCATCTAATCGGCTGATTGCTATGTCTATACTGATTTGAACATCTGTGAAGAGTTTTAGCCGATTAGATGTCATGCACTTATCATACGATTGCTGTTATATTCGGTATAAAAATGGTGAGGGTTTTAGTCTTTGATAAGCTAGGTCGAGGTAGATGCCAGAGTCCTTTTGAGAAATTGAGAATTTTCAGTGAGATGGACAAGGTGTGAGAAATGTTAAGCCGCGTGAATTAAGTCAGTCCTTTCCTTTCTTGTGTTGGTTTATCCATATTAATACCGTTGCTTTTGACTTACACTTCACAGGTTATCCTAATCCCACTTTGGTGGGAGAGATGACCCGAGGTTCTTTTATGGAACCTGTGTTCGGTCATCTTGATGGACTAAAAGCTCATTGTTTGGAAAAATTATGCACCTGTAACTATTTTTGCACGGTTTAATACAAAAATCTAAGGATTCATTCTCATAATCCCTCATTTGTTTTCAATCAGAAGTAAAGTACCACATGATAAACTGATAGTTTCTAATTGCTTTGGACTATTTCACTTCACAATACAACAGCGATGAAACTCACTCTTTTATTTGTCCAAGTATCACATGAAACTCGATAATCAGAAGATTTTGAATCGTTGCCTACGTCATTCTTGCTATTCCCTTATGCTGCTTTTTTCTTTGTTGGCTTTCAATCTTTTTGGCATGGTTTCTCTTCACAGTTTTCAGTCCATTTTCTGTGACTGAAAAATGTTGCAACAATCAGAGTTTCTTTTTGGTTTTTGATTTTAATTAAGATATATACACAACCGCCATGAACTTCACGTCGGTAAGCTACAACCAAGATGGGTCCAATATATATTTTCTTTGTTTAGTGGACTTACTTTTCCTTGCATGGGGTGATTTGGTTTCAGGTTGGACAAAAATAGAGGCTATAGATTCCCTGATGCGGAAAGCTGGCTATAATGGCACCATCACCGAGTCGATGAGAAAGCGCATTCGACTAACCCGTTACCAGAGCACCATATTTACTATGCATTATAGCGATTATGTCACGTACGTGAGGGCGAACAGAGGCTCGGCCGCATCTATTAATGGGGCTATGCCTGCTAATTATTGATTACCGAATGGCTCTGCAGATTTGGCAGGGCTCTTTCAGTGCAATCTGAAGATTATTTAAGACGGAACAACTTGGGATGGTACATTGCTGTTTGGGTTCCATCTCCCCCTCTATCAAATGTTTGTGACCTGTTTTATAAGATTCTTCAAATTCATCTGATTTTGAAGAGACAAGAAAAACTTGTTCCATAAACCGTGGGACACTGATCCCGGGGACAGACAATTCTCATTTTGGCCGTTCCTAAGGGAAGTGTGCCGCTGTATCATTGACTTGCTGTAACTTTAAAAAGGGTCTCATTTCCGTTTGCCAAGATGTGCTTGCTTGTGAACTTTGGTAATTTGCCGTGCACGTGCATTTGAAGCGCGTTGTTCGTACGAAAGCTCTGCCACAATATCGTGTCGGGTCACCGTGTAGGGTGGTTTCGTCGCATGGCATTTTGCATTTGTTCCTGTATTTAAGGATATTGAACTGTGAGTCTCCAGTGTGTCTTGTTTGCCACGAGATTTGCATTGTTCTGTAGCAGTGGCAAATTTAATGCGTGTGTCAGCATTCGTTCTCGAGAACGGTCCTGTTTGATTCTTACCTTGTCAACGTGTTCTGGGAGTTTTTCCCTATGTTATTTATCCCTTGAAAATGAGTTTTGAGTGAGGACGTGTGGAGTTCTTTTTGCACAATTTGTTTGCAGACGCCATTTTTCTCCTTTTTTTGCCATTTTCAATCATCATGCTTGAAAGTTTATCTAACGTTTGTATATTTCCAAGAGCATGTCTTTCCAACTTTTCCATAAACATAAGAAGCAAAAGCAATCCTTTCAACCTTCTTTACGAAGTCTGATTTGGACCGTGGAATCTGCGGACATAGGTACCTTGAAGGGTTGCTCGAAGTTCCCCCACGGCGAGGAAAGGCCGGGGATGTTTCCGAAATACAGACCAGCCTCGCTACCTCTGAAGAATCTCAATCGCTTTGCAATTAAATTTGGCCAGAAAACGGAGTGGAAGTGGAAATGACTAATGAGGGGGTGCGATCCCTCACCTCTCGGGGGCTCGGCCCACGGGTCGATCTGCGAACGGTGGTGCTGCATCGGGTGCGAGTCCAAGGATCCTCGGCTCGCATCCGTCGCCACAGTGCGAATCGTGGAGGAGGTCCCCGTCGTCCATTGCGCGATTGGCATGAATTCATCATGTGAATTCCCACGATTATAATAATAAAAAATAAAATAAAATAATTATAATAATAGAAGTAGATGATTGGGTGGAGTTTCTGATGCTGGCCATTTGGGCCCAGATCGAACAAAAAGTCCGAAGGCCCAGCCAACAACGTTTGACGTCGGAGCCCAGTGATCTCGATTCCATCCATCACAGAGAGATGGAGGGCAAAATTGGGAAAACAGGGGGAGAAAAAAAAAAGAAGGCAAAAGGTAATTCCCAAAAAAACCTCAAACTTTACACTTTATCTTAATTATATCATGAACTTTTTTTTGTCTAAAAAAAAACCTCAAACTTTCATCCGAGTCCCAAATCTGCCTTACCGTTATAAATCCATCCAATTAACGTCAGAAAAAAAAAAAAAAACAAAACCAGCAGCTGCGGCGTGGCCAAGCCTTCGCCGGTGGGCCGCCGCCACGGCCGCCGGAAGGAGCGGCGGCCCTCGCCCGGGCCTTCCCGAAGGCCGGCGACCCTCGCCGCCCAGGGCGAGTCGCCGGCGAGGGCCTGCAGCCCCCGATCTGGGGGAGGCGCCCCCAGGCGAGGGCCGCCGCTCCTTCCCGGCGGCTGTGGGGCGGCCACCGGCGAAGGCTTGGCCACGCCGCAGCTGCTGATTCTGTTTTTTTTTTTCTGACGTTAATTGGACGTATTTATAACGGTAGGGCAGATTTGGGACTCGGATACAAGTTTGAGGTTTTTCTTGAGACAAAAAAAAGTTCATGATATAATTATGACAAAGTGTAAAGTTTGGGGTTTTTTTGGGAATTAAGCCGAGATGGGCGAAAAAGAAGAAGAAATTAAAATAAATAAAAGGGGAAAAAAATAACCGAGAAATGCTGGTCGAGGGAAAATACGGAAATTTCAGCGCACGATCCCCATCCCATCTCCTTCACCACCAACAAGTCGTTGGAACTTCCTCTCTCTCTCGTCTTCTCCGCGAAGCACCTCCAGGTTCTCAACCGCAGATTCTTCTTCGTATTCTCTCCCTCTCTCTCTCGCTCTCTCGTTCTCGAGTTGTACGATGTTATGTTGTCTGAATCCGATCGGCCTTGATTTCGCCTTCTTGGAAAGTTGCCGTCTTTTTCGAGGAAGATGGATCGATTTTTTTTTTTTCTTGTTTTCTTGGGAAATTTTGGGTGGATTTCGATTTCTTGGGCACTGATCCCCCCGGGCATCCCGAATTTGCTTCGGTGTCAGGGAATTACGTACGGTTGGGAAAAGAACCCGACTTGGGATTTGCTCAGGGTGTTGTCATGATGATGTCTGTCTTTTGTCGGGTTGGGGTTCTTGATGATGGCGGCGTCGTTTTTCGGGTCGGTGTTGTGATTGCATGCGTTGGGCGAGCTCGTATGGCCTGGATGGAAGAGGTTTGTGTGGGAGCTGATGATGCGGTGTCGATAAGCGTGATTCCTCCCCCCCTCTTCCATTGGCCTTGTTTGAGTGGGAGTGAGTTTTCCGGGGGGAAATGATTGAAGTTGCTAGGCGTGTTTCTTTTGGAATCACGCGCGGTCGATGGCCATTATTCGACACGCATTGCTCTTGCTTATTGCGTTTATTGCTGCCGGTCTAGTTTGTTACATTGCCTTTGTTTTCCCATTAGGGAGAAAAAAGCAGAAATTTTTACTGAAGTTCCGTTTGATTGGTCGTGCTAATTTCGAGAAATTATTTGCTATCCGCAGCTTGTTGTCACCAAATTGGTTGAAGCTTCTTGTGGGTTGCTGGACCTGCAGATTCTGGTTAATAAATGAGTCAGAAAGGCCTCATTTATAGCTTTGTGGCGAAAGGAACTGTTGTTCTGGCAGAGCACACTCAGTTTTCTGGAAACTTTAGTACCATTGCTGTGCAGTGCTTGCAGAAGCTGCCTTCTAATAGCAGCAAGTACACGTACTCCTGTGATGGGCACACGTTTAACTTCCTGATAGACGGCGGGTTTGGTATGGATAACTTTCTTTACTAGTTAACTCATCATTACATGTGATTGATTCATGTGTAGTGCGGTTGACCAATGTTTGTCGTGCATGCAGTTTTCCTTGTTGTTGCTGATGAGTCCGCCGGAAGAAGTGTACCTTTCGTGTTTCTCGAGCGAGTGAAGGATGATTTTAAGCAGCGTTATGGTGCCAGTATTGCGAGTGGGGACCCACATCCACTTGCAGATGATGATGAGGATGACGATTTGTTTGAAGATCGCTTTAGCATCGCGTACAACCTTGACCGAGAGTTTGGGTGATTATACAATGAACTGGCGATTCTTATGTTTCTTTTTTGTCTTCTCTGCTTCATCTCATATGGTTCTCTGACATGTTACTTTGTTTAAAAGGCCAAGACTTAAGGAGCATATGCAGTACTGCATGAGCCATCCAGAGGAGATGAGTAAGTTATCCAAATTGAAGGCTCAGATAACAGAGGTCAAAGGGATTATGGTTGACAATATTGAAAAGGTACATTCTTTTAATAAAAAAAGTACTGTAAGCTCCGAAGAAGAGCATGGTCAAACTGAAAATGAAGACAGACCTGTTGATGTTGGTGGATAATTCCATAAGTTCCCCGTGTATTTAAACTTGTAGTGGCATGATGCTGTGCATGAAATTTCTGATTCTTTTAGATTAAAACATCACGTCTTTTGAGTATTAGTTGCCAACTCTTCTTCGGACAAGCAGATGAGAGTTGAAAGAGTTTTGGAGAAAGACATTTGTTATTGTCTGTTTTTGATGTTGCCATTTCAGTGATTCTAGTGGCTTCATATCATTGACAACATGATAAAACTGGTCTGCTTGGTTAATTAATGTGAGGGTGCCGATGGTGCCATTGGTAGTTTAAAAGTTATTTTTATATGATCAACGAATGTTATGAACCATTACAATCTTGAGGATATGTAATTGTTGCATCAAACTCCTGAATCAACTGACGAAAATGTTGATAAAGATTAAAGAGTAATTGGATGATGAATTTTTGAAAAAGAAATATGCTTAACCTCAATAAGTGGTTGATATTAGGGAGTATTTAACGTGCTAAATGCAGAGAGGACTACTTGAAGTACTAGTTTCGTTTATGATTTGTCTGGAGAGAGGCTGTCCTTGTTCCGGGGGCATACCACGTTATGGTCATTAAACTTTTCCCTTGGTCTGCATTAACTCGATCCTTTGACGGGGCACTGTCTGCATGGATATGAGATGCTTTTGGTCACATTGACATTACTTTTATCACATAGAGAGAATCTGGGAGGAGGATAATCACAGGAAGTTTCAACCTTGGGAAAGGGGAGATCTTACTCTTTTTGTGCAGCCCTTCTCTGAACATATTGAGAGCGAAATAGTACAAGTGTGGTGGTTATTGTAAGAAAAGAAATCTTATAGATTTTGGTTTATTGCAAATTATAAAGGGATTCTGGTATAATTAATGGAATCAAGTTGGGTGGTGAGGTATACTGATGTCGTAGATTCTCAAATGTGGCAATCATATTTTTCCTCATGTTACGAGGAAAGAAAACTTACATCCCATGGGTGATGGATCTGATGATCCTTGAGTGGGAACTGTCTTGATGTATGGACGCTTGAAATCTTACTTGTCAAAGTACACATACAAAATATAGCACGTGTTTCTAAGGTTATGTGTTTTCATCGGACCATTGGGCCATATTTTCATGCTATTTCTTCTTTCGTCACGGACTTTAGGTGTTGGACCGTGGGGAGAGAATTGAACTTCTGGTTGACAAAACAGAGAACTTGCAGTTCCAGGTAAACTTGCTTTTCTTGGAGTTACAGATGGGATGATTGAGAGGTATCAAGTAGTTTCCACGTCATTGAACAAAAATGCGCGTTGTTTCAGGCCGACATTTTCCAAAGGCAAGGAAGGCAACTGCGTAGGAAGATGTGGTTTCAGAATCTCCAAATGAAGGTTATGGTGGGCGGAGCAGTCGTCATAGTAATATTCTTGCTGTGGCTCATAGCAAAATGGGGAAGTAAATAAAAATTTGGCGTTCTCAGGATGTAAAAAGAAAAGGCACGATATGATTTTGTATCTGGATATGTTTGTTGGTATGTGGAGCTAGCCTACCACTTAGGATTTATGAATCTCATACCCAAATTTATCGACCATTTTTATTCTGCTGTGAATATAAGTTGGCCAGGATTTCTCTTGAGCAGTCTTGCTTTGTTTCCATCACTTGACTAAGAGTTCGGAAGATCGGCGATCGCTGCAGGAACAGATTTTTTGTATTATCGGATAGTCTTCTTTCCATGCCTATGTGCTTGTTTATCGTCTTGCGATTTGAACCCCAAGTAGTTCTCGTACATGTGGGTAGTCAGGTAAACTTGAAAATCATGCCAATGAAGGCGATATGAAGGCATGACCACGATACCAGCTTCGCAGGCACATTGAAAAGATTGTTAACTTTTTTTTGACCCAGGAGATAACGAGACGAATTCGAGATATGAGTTTCATATGGAAGCAAATTACTGGTTATGACCCAAAATTCCTTGACCCTAGAACTAGGGCGAGCATTTGAAGTTGATTCTACTCGGAACTAGACAGGTTTCGAACCCGTCAATCTGGTCTGATTCGAGTAAACTAGTTTCGAGAATTGTTGGGAACTTTGGAACTGCCTTAGAGAAGGTCGGTAAACTATCCAACTTTGGAATCGCTAGATTCACTTGAAACCGATTCCGAGGGTGATTCCGAGCGATTTTGTCGGACCAAACTTCTATAAAGAGAACGAAACATGAACTCCTCTTTCTTGTGAAATCTTGAACATGCCAATTTAATACTCGATTCCGACTTTTCGAAATCAAGCTCAACCGGGTTAATTTGAAGTTCCAGTCCCGGGACCGAACCACTTAGCCAATGTGCAACCCTATCAAAGACTCCGTTACTTATAGGATACTTTTTTTGCAATTTTTTGCAAAAAATTCAATAAATCTTCAATTTCATCCTATGATAAGTACCTGGTTTCTGTGACTCACTTGTTCATGGGTTGCTGGAACGGATGTGGCTGTAATCATCTTTCCCCTGGCTTGTACATTATTCTCTAAGACTACTACATGAGAAGGTAAACTTCATGAAAAACTTATGCCCGAAGATCATTTGAAAGGCAAATTGACACTTGACACTAAACTGCATGTCATTATTCCAAACATTAGGTCATTGCAATTGCAGGAGAAATTGACCTTACAACGAGTTTGTTCTCAGGAGGAGCATCTGCAAGTATATGCTGCTGCTGACGCATATTCCCCAACTCTGGAACATTATTTTCACCAAAATGGCGCTAAAGTAGCTACTAGGAAGATTTTATCAGTAATGAGCTCCCGACAAGAGCGCCGAGAAACGAAGATAGTTCAAGCCTTGACGGTTCCGGCGAGCATAAAAACCTTGCAATTGACAGTCCTGACCAAATCAGATCCGCCCCAAGCGGTCTCAAACTCTTTCACAACATCATCAGTCAACAGATCCACGCCATTCTGCTTGGCCGTCGCTATTGCCGACGAGGTCCTCTGCCAACTCAGAAACGTCTCAAAGCTCGTTTCCCTCGGCATGTCTAGCTGAAGGGGTTGTCCTTCACAACCTAAACCCACGCTCTCAAACGGAAACGGAAGGGTCCGATACTCTTCGAACACATACTGCACTCCCGGCTTCCAATACGGCTTACAGGCTTCGCGCAGACGTCTTGACACCCGTTCAACTTCGGGATTGACTCCGATTATATCGGTGTAAGTCCAAACAGCAATCACGCCCCCGGGCTTGCGGAGGACCCGTTTGGCAATGGAGTAGAACTTTGGGATGTCGAACCAATGGATGGCAGTAGCCACCGTGATCAAATCGACCGAGTCCTCGCCCCCAACCATTGCCACCATTTCGTCTTCGGACAAGGATGGCGGCGTGTGTAGGTACTGAACTCGAGGGTGCGGGATCCCTTTCTTCAGCATGGGCTCACTTATGTCAGTTGCAACCACTCGCTCATAATGCTCTGCGACCTGCAAAAGATAGAAACTTCTGTTAACTCTTTACAACAGTTCGTGTATTTAAAGACCAAAAATTGTAATCGTGGATGCAAAAGATTGAACAAAGAGCTGTCCAAAGCTAGGGGGAGACACAAAGCAAAAGACATTGGTCTGGAGACTCCATGCATACAACCAGACATTGAAAACAGGCAGCAAGGTCCGAACAAATTGAGAGGCGTCCCTCATTGCTAAGTCAATTTGGTCATTTCAGGAGTTCAAGATCGTTGGCCAAACAGTTTGCCAATGCTAATCAGTCAGGAAATGCATCCTCCTTAGTAATGATCTTTCGTACTACAGATCGTGACGGCCTTCACTCGGTAAGTACGACAAAAGAGCGGCTTAGACCACAGATACTTCATCTAAGTTGACAACAGAGAACATGACCTATTGCCTGCATGAACTACTGACTAACCTCAATGTCAAAAAACCTAAGCGAACCACCCGATTTACCCAAAATATCGTATTTTCTTCACAGGTTCTCATGGCATCTTACACTAATGAACCTTCCGAGTAATCTGAATGTCGAATCCTGAATGAACCACCCAGTTCATGTAGAATTCCTTATTTGGGCAACCTCTTACTTCTATGGAATCATGAAAATCTCTCCTCTTTTTTTATATCTTCCAGGAAGACACACTCAGAGAGCTAGTGAACTCAGCTGTCAGCATCAGGCAGATAATGAGCACTCTGCATCCGCATTTGTTGACCCCAGCAACAATTGCATTTGTACCCAATCTGCCAATGTTACTACTAGTACTAATTGAAGGAAATCAACCACGAGGGTATCGAGAATTTCCAACACGTGTCTCCTGCTAGAGCTCACAATGATTTCAGACCAAACGAATGGATCGAGAGGCTCGTATCATGCTCACCCGAAGAACCCTCGCATTGTCCGGAACGTCAGATTCACAGAATCAACCTCGGTCTAATTTGAAGACACCAATCGAAATCCCTTGGACATCGTGACGGACATCAAAGGATAGAAGCAGAATTACACGAGAGAGAGAGAGAGAGACCGTGACGGCGGATTGGCCGTTGCCGGTGCCGACGTCCCAAGCCAAGGCATGGCGGGAGGTCAAGGCAGAGAGCTTGGAGAACCACTGGTCGGGATACCGGGGCCGTGCGTCCACGTATCTCTTGGTTTCCTGGTCGTAAGGACCTTGCATTGCCATTCGTACGATACAACACCGCACGCAACACGATCACGGCACACACAGTCCCCCTTGGATCGACTCACTCAAGCTGTACGGATCGTGAAAACGTTGTTGGGTCTCTCACTTTGTGCAGTTTAAATAAGAGGAGGAGGAGGAGGAGGAAGAGAGATGGCAAACTCGGACCCGCAAGGAGGAGAGATGGCAAACTCGGACCCGCAAATCTTGCGCCGCCCTCTCCTTGTTGACTTTTGAATCGTTCTATAATGTCATCAGGGACGTCAGCTACATACTTTTCTATCAGAATATATGTTTTCTTTTCAACTTCATCCCTGCCATAATCGATAAATACCTCCATTGCAAGCTACACCAAACATTTCTTCGTTCTTGTCATTCACCATGAAGCAATCATCCATCAAGGAAATAAGAGGCCAACCAAAGTGGAAACAAGCTACACATTTGCATTTATTGCAGAGTTTTAAGTTACTGTTTCTATGTACACGAGATCTATTGTGAATGTCGCGCGATCAAATGCAAACATTCTCTATGAACAAACAGCAGAGGGCCAGTACGGCTGCAATGAGAGCATGGACTCGCGCACGGCTCCTGATGCAGGCGCCGGAACCGTGGTGGACGCTCTGGTGGTGGTTATTGTTAGCGCCGGCGCCAGCATATATGGGGATCACAGCTGCACCGCCTTTTGGAGATGACGATCCCGATTCGCCATTAGTCCCGCCCTCGCCCCCTCCATGTGTGTTGCCTCCGGCATAGCCGCTACGCGGAATGCCACGGGCAAAGTTGGAGCTGTGCTTTATGTCACTCCTCCCTTTTCCGTTCAGTCGTCTGTCTAGCAAGTCGGGTTTCTGCAATGAGTCTGCAAAAAACCATGAGGGTCATTAAAGATGAAAAGCGACGAGCATTGAACATGCGTTCAAGCAACCATCGTCTCACTGACTAATAGTCAGCTGGGCATCACCTTCAAGTTATTGAGCAAATTGAGTAACAACAAAAAAGTGCAGTCACTCTCTGATCATTAAAATGGTGTGAGTGCATTAAGGAAAAATATCAAGTTTGAACTATCCTATACCATCACTGATTTCTTTATCTAACTCCTTAGTCCTGCTAATTCATTGGGCTGAAATAGAAAGGATCTGGGATCATTTATTTGGAAGGGATTCAAGGAAAGGATTAGGATCCATGAAGTCGAAAGCAACCTGTCTTGTCAGTGAAGCCAATTGTTCAAGCTTTATGACTTAAATCTTGCGAGAATCTTTTTACCTCAAATGATATCGGATATCATCGTATACCCACCAAAAAAAGATTACTACAAGAACCAATGCCCTTCTAGGTGGGGGACAAGGGATATGTTCCCAAAATGGTAAAAGACTTGTTGCTATCTCAAGTTTCAAAAGGCTATGGAGAATTTGATAAAGAAAGCTAACTGTACTGTAGCTGAAGCTACAAGAAAGGAACAAGACGAAGGAAGAAATAGCAATGTAAAAGTTACAGAAAAAGGGTCTGAACAAAATAGATTGGAACTGCCCTCAATTTGTTGGTTTCTTAAATGCTCTTATCAGCAGTTTCCGATGTTTCAGGCGTCAATAACCCTTGAAAATTGTTGTTCTGAAGAAGATAACATGGGCACGATATCATCCTTCTAAATTTGCTGGTTTCCTAAATGCTCTTATTCTGTGGGGAGACAAAGGACATCTCTATCCAACCAGAGATCACTTTTAAAAACGACCACATTTCTGAGTGAGAAATGCCAATAAGAGTTGCAAATGCACGACTGTTAGTGCTTACATCTTACGCAGGCATTACAAAGTGACAGATTATAACAATTAGAAGCTTCAAAGCAGATCAAAAATTGACATGCTTTTGGCCTTCAAGCAAACAACAGAGTGGTCGACTTAAGAAATTTTCGTACAATCGAAACACCAGCCTATCTCTTAAGCGAGGTATGCAATTGGCGATGGGCATTCATAACACTCTGGATAAGGTTTCTTAAGGACTGTCTCTTTTTTCTTGGGGTTCTTAAAATCCTAGATGTCCCTATAATGGTTGAAAAGAAACTCATCAAAAGTATAGAAGCCACAAAGCAAAGTGTATCCCATTCCTCCTTCTGTGTTTTACTGTTGATACGTAATCACACAGTTCATCAAAACAAGAACTCCTGAAAATCGTAGTTCAAGGTTCAAAACGACCCGAAAGAGAAGGCCTTTTTCACAAGAAAAAGAACGGTACCTGGACAAACACAGGAGTAAGAAAAGGATCACCTGCTGCAGATGTCTCTGAAGGAGAGATAGATGCCAAAATACATAGGAAGGAGAGGAAAATGAGAAGCACTCCTGTCATTTTTTTTTCTTATGAACCTTCTCCACTGATGCTTCTACTTGTCCTCCCAAGTCCTTTTAAGCACGTCACTCTTCCACCTAGTATAGACTAACTTACACAAGCACACCTTCGTACATGGTAATCAAAAAACAAAGGAGGTTTTGGCAAACAAGAGGAGCATGAAGTTTAAGTTCATCTTCTATCTTCGAACTTATCTTTTCAGAATCGAGAAAAGAAGAACAAATGGCCATGATTTCATGGGACCAGAATCTTTGGAAGTTGCTCGGTTTATGGCCTTTCCACCGTTGAAAACTAGGAGGTGAGCACTTTGAAATGCTTCTTTATGGGCCAAAAAAAGTGCTTTTTTCAATAAGTGCGTTCACTCTTCAAGGAAAGAATATTGCTAACGTGTAAACTATACTTTATTTGGAATATTTTAATTTTAAGGTACTGATTTTACAATGATACATGGGCGGCGCACGAAAAATGTAAAGTTCTTTTAATTGATTGCTTAACTAGTACCTTTAAGACATTCGTCAATGGATTCATTATTAAGTACATCCGAAGAATTTGATGAATATAGCGGTAAGCGAATGACTTGTATATGAAGGTGGCCACTTTTTCCGAGCAGCATTGGAGTCTTATCCTAATCCATTCTCTACCCATTCTGAATAACGTGGCATCGTGTTGCAGAGGTACGTGTTCGGTTTCATATATTATTGAACGTCAACCTACGTGTCGCGGAAATATGGCTTGTTCCGAATGAATTATATGACCTACTATAAAAGAAATATGGTGAATAAAACAGTGTTTGCATATACAAAACTTAGGTACAGAACACCTGTTACAAAACAAAATGGATATCACAAAGAAGGCATACCAGATGACATTTATGAGAATGCTCGTCTGTTGAATGTTGATAATGAGAGATATCCAAGCAGTTGCGTGACTTTCTATTCAGTTAATGATTTTGCGTCCAAATTTGTTTTCGACTGTTCATTTTGTACTCTTTTTTTGCGAGTTCAAAGAGAAGATAATATCAAATTTGTCTTGCTCTGTAACTGATGAAAAAACAGGACAGCGAGCACCACTGCTATGTCCGAAAATTCCTAAAATTCCTTACGGGCTAAAAACATAACAACTAATATCCGACTTCAAGACTAACACAGGCCAAAAGACTAATTTAGAACAAGAATTGTCACTGCAAAAACACCAAGAAAGCACCGAAATCCATGAAGCTCAGGTTGTGACCAGAACCCAATTCAGGCACAAATTCTCTTTCCAATAGACAAAAATAACAAGCATTGCAGTTCTTTAACTTGATCAATAAAGATCACCCTCCTTGTGGGTATGAATCATGCAATCGGCTCTTGGGTATGAGATGCAGGTCAGCACATAGCCATTCTCCATCTGCTTCTCATCGAGAAAGGAGCCGTCCGATTGGTCCACCTCTCCCGAGACCATCTGGCCTGCACAGGTCGAGCACGCCCCAGCTCTGCACGAATAAGGAAGCTCGATCCCAGCATCCTCAGCGGAGTCGAGGATGTACTGGTCATCTGGCGCGTCAAACTCGTTCTCTTCCCCATTTGGTCCGATCAGCTTCACTTTGTGCACTGCCATTGCAGATACTCTGAAGGAGGCGGAAGACTTCAAGCCAAAGGCTTTCGTGACGCTCCTTGTGGAAGCCAAGGAACTTGGGCTCTTAATGAAGGCGGAGGGTCTGTCTGGGAGCGTGCATTTGAGCGCGCAATATGTGGGAAGCGTCACAGTCGACATATCTGGTCCTGAGAACAGACCAAGTAATAAAAGGTACAAAGTGAGCGTTAAATGTAAAGAACACGTCTTCATGGCTTTCAGGTTCGCTCAGAAGCTTCAAATTCCCAACCAATGAACAGGAAAAAGAGTAGAATAATAGCAGTTCCTTCATAGTTCAAGCAAGGAACTTTTGGAATGTTAAAATCAAATTCCCAACCAAGTTTCAGCTAAAAGCAGGAATTTCAAATTTTAAGATAACCATACTGGGTATGACACCGTGTTACTCTACAGGTTGACGTTTGGACATACTAATCTTTTAATACACTTCGACGCTCAACAACTTCTTTCTATGTAGAAGCAACGACAAGCACGTCTTTCTCCGCAAGAGAAATTGAGTTGAAGAGCTCTTTAGGAAAACCATATCCCCATTTCACAACATTATTCTTGTCTCGCAAATTCAAAGAAGAAAGCAACTAAAATGAATGGGCTTCTCTACTTTTCAATAAGATTGCCTAATGATTGCAAATGAAATTGTAACAAGTACAGACAAAGAAGTAGACAAACAAACAGGCAGTCATGGTTCATGAACTCAATTCAAGTAGCTACATCAACTCTGGCCCACGAGCAATCTAATAAAACTTTAAGTTCAAAAGCAATTCAAGCTCAAATATTAACCGACTAGTGTTCGTACTCAAAATATATTAACCTTATCCTTCAGGCAAATATAATGCACATAAAGATATCAGAATCCTTGCCGGTGCAATCAATGATCAACGTGTCAACCCAAATGGAAACAACAATTGGTCATCAAGACAACCACAAATTGCGCAAGCATCGCGCCTCAATTGCGCCCCAGCGATACTTACAGTCTCCGCATGGACAGAAAATACATTCAACAAAGAAAAACTCGTGATTTAAACGTCAACCAACAAGCAGAAAACCAAGAATTGTTCACTAGGGAAAATGAATTGCCAACGGTGCCCAGATTGTCAATCAATGACAAGACCATTCCAAATAGTTGACAAACTATCAACTAATCACATTCCGAAAAGCAATATTTTCTTATGTTTTAACAAGATCATCACCAAAAAAACACAGCACAGGTCCTCGATACCCTGAACAACAAGCTTAAACAGAGAGCCCAGAAAACCACCGTCTGATGATCCAATACTTTAAAGTCACATCAGCTCCAGAAAACGAAATGATCAGCTATCATAACTCCATCGATCAGTTCATGTCAATCCAGTTAAGATTTTTCCTTTATCCTTCTCCTTCCTTTCCCTTAGGAAGGCGTCATAAAAGTGATGGAAAAACCACCCACGAAGAGATTCGCAGAAAAGCGAAATCCACCCACAAAAGAAAAAAACGGTAAAAGTTGTGCCGAAAGTAAACGGAAAAATCAAGTGAAAAGGAATCAAACGAGAGGGGGAAAATCTTACGGCTTGAGAAGGTGATCTGATCGGACCGGGAGGGGTGATTTGAGAGCGGAAAGTCCGAGGAAAACAGTGCGAGAACCTGCCCCGTGCGTTGGACTGTCTCTTTTATATCTGTCTTTTTCTTGTGTGTACATATATAAATGCACTCGTCACTCGCTCGCTGACGCTCGGGCCATTCATGCCTTCCTAGGGCCTGCGAGAGTAACAGTACAATGGCTTTGATGCTGACATATGATTATAATGTTCTTTCGACCTCCAAAATGTTTGACTTTTGTACTAATGTGGTTAATCTCGATTAGTGTGTTATGAATTGCCAAGAAGTAAAAAATAAACAGAATTCTGCAAAAAAGAACGCTTTTTTTTGGTCAAAAAACTACCATTTACTTTGTTCACAAGACCAAAAAGTAAGATTTTTTTGACAACTTAGGTGACTGTTGCAAGAGCCGAAGTCCACTTATTCATTAGTTTGGGTTTTCTCTTCATTTGTTCTTTGTATTTACTTTGTTGTTGCACCCATAAAAATGAAAAGCTTAATCTATATCCTATAGCAATTTGCTTAGTTGGCATAATCTCAATTAGCCTCCCCCTTAATGACCTTGCTTTCTACATGCATCATGAACAAGTCAAAGGTTATTTTCTTATACTAATTTATGTTGTTCCTTCTCAATTCACACCCAAAGAAGAAGAGCACGTTACAGTTTCCATTCAAACCTATTTTCCTTCCATTTCATTTGAATCTTTCCATCATCTATTTCCCATTTTACCTAACTTACCAAGAAAAAAGAATGTATGAATTAATCACAGCTCCTTTGAATTAATGTGGGATTCACTTCTTTTTTTTAGGGAATAACATGTGATTCTTATATGATCTCTTTTAATCAATGACAGAACAGAAAATACCTGGTTAGATGAAAAGTACATCATTGGACTGTTAATCCAGACAATCTGGGCGAGTATTTGCCAACAACATTCGGGAAACTCCTTAGCAGTCGCACATACTTGTTCATCTCGTATTCTTGTCGTAACGTATTCCAGTCTCTACACTGTATTTGAGAGACAGAGAGAGAGAATATGCTGTGCTTGCCGATTTGGAAAGCGAAGTATGACCCAAACGGGTTGATTACCAACCCACGCCATGTCCCGACAAGGCAGCAGCCGCCACTGATCGTCTCCGTCCCTCTCCCTCACCGACCCACCACCGCCACCACCACCACACTTGTCGTCGCTTCTTCTTCCGCTAATCACCCGCTCGCCGACACTTCACCAACCTCCATGGCATCCACCGGCGACGTCCTGGTAATCATCACCTGCCTACCCACTGCAACGAAACAATGAGCATATGTTGCCTCGCCTTACCCATGATGAATCTTTTCGTTTTCTAACTCCGGAGGGGGAAAATAAAGCTTGCAGTTTTCTTTTCTGGGCTTTTGCCAGTCTTGGGATTGGTTCATCGTCTCGAACTGAATTAATTCACTTCCTTATCTCGTTGAATTCGCGGTTTCTTCAGCTGGCTGATTGGCGTAGTTCTACTTGCAAAGGGGTTCTCTACGTGCAATTCTTGTTTCTTGGGGTGCTTTTGTATTGGTTTGTTGCTGATGACGCGTTGTGTTCAATTGATTGATTTAGCTGCGGCTTTCTTGAGTTCTGCTTCTACCCATTGTTTCGTATCAGCTTAAACAAATTGCAAGTGTAAAGCTTTTACATTTCTTGCCCATTTTTGGTTCTGGTTATTGTGGTTCAGCTTGCGACTTCTTCTGCTCAGCTCGAAATGGAGAGTGGAGCCCTGAGGAGGAGTTCAACTTTGGTATGTGTTCCTATAATGGCGGGGTCGGTCGAAGAGATGGTAACCCAATTGGATAAGGCAAAGTCTAGTGGGGCTGACCTTGTGGAGATCAGATTGGACAGTCCGAAGAATTTCAGTCCGCATGAAGATTTGAAAACCCTGATCGAAGCCTCTGCTTTGCCAACTTTATTCACTTACAGGTTCGCCGTTAGCTCCTTTCTGAATGGATTTGTCATGAAGATTCTGTATAGTCTACATTTTGTGTGATTTGAGTGGTGTGAATTTGTGTGGAATGTTGAAGCCTTCCAATGCTTTTTTTCGTACTTCCTTAGACCAAAATGGGAAGGTGGCCAGTATGATGGTGATGACAAGTCTCGATTGGATACCCTTCGATTAGCAATGGAGTTGGGGGCTGATTATGTTGATGTCGAGCTTCAGGTATCCTTCTGATTGATATGTTAATGAAAGCTTATAAGGTTGAGAGGCCATTAACACTTTGAAAATTACTGCCCAGTTTGATAAATTTTACGTTAGTCTAATAAATTTGGCTTGAGCTCTAGAATTTTTGAGATCATGGCATTGCTTTCAATAAAAAAATTGCTATAGTGTCTTCCTTAAAAAAGATCAAAAGAATTAACTAGAGTTTGGGTCATTTTTGAATGTTCATATTTTGCTTCGAAAGAAATATCTAATCAGAAAGAAGCACCGAACATTTGCATTAATTCACCCACTTCCAAGTTATTAATCAGAGTTCCATCTATATAACTTTACCTTATAGGGCTAACATGATTGCTTTGTGAAGGTTGCATGTGAGTTCAATGCATCTATACAAGGAAGAAAGCCAGAGAAGTGCAAAGTTGTAGTTTCTTCTCACAACTATGAGAACACTCCATCTATTGAGGACCTCGGCAACCTTGTGGCAAGAATCCAAGCAGCAGGTGCAGACATAGTGAAGATTGCTACAACTGCCTTGGATATTACTGATGTTGCACGGATGTTCCACATAACCGTGCATTCCCAAGTAAGCAGCGTATGTGGCCTGCCAATGCTTCTAGATCTTGACTTTTTTCTGAGTCATGTCGTCGCAAGTTTCAATGTCTGCTGCCATCACAGAACATAACTTTGTATTTGCGCATGTTCTCTGACATAGGCAGAACTAACTGCATGTGAGGCTACCTTGTTTATCAAGTTTTAGCCGAAGAAACGAAGAGAGAAAAACCTTCACCACTGTTAGAAAGGTCAAGAATACAACAGAGAATCAAGAATATGTCTGTACTCTCAAGCTGATCATCAGTAAAATATAGTAATTTAAGCACCTGTTTCAGGTAGCACGATCGAGCTCATTGTTCATGACTAATTACATGTTCATGTGGGGCTTAATAGACAGAGTGGAATGGTCTTTTTTTTTAATCGTTTCTTTAAAAAAGTTCTGTTGACCATGGAACACGGAAACCACATCCCCGCCTTGAAAGGTCGGCTATCATAATTATGGCAAAGGAAATCAAGTATCTGAGAACTTTAAATGCGTTAGCATCATATTTTGGATAGTTTAATCAAATGTTAGTGTAGTCTTGTATGTTATGCATCCTCAAGATCACACAAAGTGCAGATGGGATGTCAAACCTCAATCTGTTGGTTATAATGTGTCGACACCATGCGTTGCAGTTTTAATTATTCTTTCTTACAATGTCCAGTGGCTTCAGTAACATTTTGACGTTCTCTTACTTATGTCTATTGAATATCTTGGATTTAACGTTTTCCATCTTATATTATTACACTCCCTAGTACCTAGGAATTTGCGACAACCTTGAAAGTAACTGTCAAACATAGAGAATTCTTGCTTAACTGCAGAAACTAGAAGATCTTTTGTTCCTTGAATCTATGGAGTATCTTAAACACATGTTATGAATAAACTTGTCTGGTTCATGATATGGACCTGACAACTTGGTCACGATATTTGTAACTGCCAATATCCTTTATTTTTGCGAAGCTCATAGGTTCCATATCCTCCTGCATCTTCTAATTTATCGCCTGATTGCATCATTGTCCTATTTTTATTCAAGAATCATTCTTCTTCGCTTTGAACAGTAACTGGGCAAGTTTCTGTGTTAAATACCAAGACCCTCCAAGTGATATTGTAAATTTCAGGTTCCAATAATAGGCATTGTAATGGGCGAAAGGGGTTTAATTTCACGGGTTCTTTGTGCAAAGTTTGGTGGTTTTCTCACCTTTGGTACGCTTGAGTCAGGAGTAGTATCAGCTCCTGGTCAACCAACTATCAAGGATCTGTTGGATTTGTACAACTTCAGAAGCATAGGGCCTGATACCAAAGTGTTTGGTATCATTGGGAAGCCAGTTGGCCACAGCAAATCACCTCTTTTATATAATCAAGCATTCAAATCAGCCAATTTTAATGGCGTTTATTTGCATCTATTGGTGGATGATGTCGCTAGCTTTCTCCGAACTTACTCATCCACTGATTTTGCTGGATTCAGGTTCGTCCTCTGTATGACAGTTATAGCGTCGTTGCGTCTATTGTTAACCTTTTAGAAAGTAACCTTCTTCGACCACCTTAGTGGAAAAATCTTTTCGATTGCTGCTTGTTATTACTTATTTAAAAGGATGAATTTTTCTTCTTTTCCCGCTTAACTGCATTAATATGTTGTCGATCTTGTATGCTGTTTCTAGCATGTGCATGGAGTTACAGTCATACTCTTTCCTTCATGAAGTTCCCATGCGAGATTAGTATCTATGATAATCCAATGTTGCTATGAGACAATGATCCTTCCTGGTAAAAATGAACAGCTGCACAATTCCTCACAAGGAGGCTGCAGTGAAATGCTGTGATGAAGTTGATCCGGTTGCTAAGGTATTGATTCTAAGTTGCTGCCAGTGATTTATGAATGTTCCGTAGCCAAAGTATTCAAGTTGTCACAACTATAATATAATTTAAACCCCTGGCTCGAAATTTGAATTATTCAATTTTCCCAGTCAACCAAGCTGCGTATTTTGTTGGGAGTCGGAAGAGTTATTTATATATGAAAATGACTAGGTTTCAAGCTTGATGCCATTATTGACTCTTGTCTTCTTCTAACTTCACAGTCAATTGGGGCTGTTAATTGCATAATAAGGAGGCAGAGTGATGCGAAGTTATTTGGTTATAATACAGATTATGTTGGAGCCATTTCTGCAATTGAGGATGGACTGCGAGGTTTAATTTCCGTTTATGTGTTGAAAATATTCTTATGACGAGTTCTCTCGATGTAATTGAACATTGCCCTTAACTATTACAGGTTCACATAATGGGAGCACCGCAGGTGCTTCACCTTTAAATGGCAAGTTGTTTGTCGTGATTGGTGCTGGTGGTGCTGGGAAGGCACTTGCTTTTGGTGCTAAAGAAAAGGGAGCCAGAGTAGTAATTGCCAACCGCACCTATGGTGAGTTACTTTTGCATGGGGTAAATGTATTTGCTTACTTGATTGGTTCGTCTGACCTTGAGAAATTAAGTCTTGTGGCAATACGACTTCTTGAATTACACACTGATGGATAATTCAGCAATCGACTTATGTGAGTGGATGGGATTAGAATTTGAAATCTTCTGGTTCATGTGTTCGTAAGCATTCTATAACTTAACATTTTATACTATTATATTGTTGATTCATCACATTTCCCGATAAAGGTCCACAATTTTAGATAAGTCTTGTATTTGTTAGCACTCAATTTCTTGTCGGCATTTCTGCCAAAACTTTGGAGGAATGTATTATCTAAATGTCATATAAATTATTCTGCGATGTCAAATCAACTGTTTTCTTTTGACGAAATATGAGAGAGAGTTGACCGACTAATGAAGAATGCTAAGCTCTGATGTTAGAAGCATGTGTTCTACTTTTTACTTCTACGAGTTCCTGTTCTCGTTGGTTTTCTCTTTTAATTCTGTTGTATGTTGACTACTATGCTTCTATATGCTGATTTCTTGGTTATCCCATATCCACATTCACGGTACATTGAAATTGGGGTGTACGACATGTTGATGACATATTATGGTTTCAATTTGCGTGCACGATGGCAGCATCCTCTCAAACTACAACATGGAAGAGAAGGAATAGATGAACATTATAGATCCTCTACACAGTACAATGATGATTTATACCCTTTTCTCTTTTTTGAAGATCGAGCCAGAGAGCTCACGGAGACCATTGGAGGAGATGCCTTATCTCTTGCTGACTTAGAGAATTTCCATCCAGAAGATGGGATGGTTCTTGCAAACACAACATCCATTGGGATGCAACCTAAAATTGATGAAACTCCAATCCCCAAGGTTGACCTCTTTTAAGTGCTCATTCACGACTACAACTTATCTGCCTTTTATTCAATTTAAATATTTTGTTTAGGTATCTAAGAAGAACAAGCTGATGTACTTTACCCTTTGAACATGTTTGTAACCCTTAATTTTTGATTGTCTGGTCTTTGCTGTCGAATAGTTCTGCCTTGTCAGATTTCCAATTGCACTGCGATTCAATATTGTCAAACAAATTGAAGTTGCTTTCTGTCTCTCTGCAGCATGCTCTGAAGCATTATTCGCTAGTCTTTGATGCTGTGTACACCCCCAAAATGACCAGACTTTTGAGGGAAGCTGAAGAATGTGGAGCGACCACTGTTTCGGGCTTGGAGATGTTCATTGGACAGGCGTATGGGCAATATGAGAGGTACACGGGGCTACCTGGTAAGCTAACCACTATAAGCATATCAGTATGTAACTTATTGCATGAGCTTGGACTTCCATCTTTTTTTCTGCTTTCTTTCTTCATTATGTGTTTGCTATCTGTCTGCAGCACCAAAAGAACTGTTCAGGAAAATTATGTCGAAGTACTGAAGAGATTGGTGGATTTGGATTCTACTCTCACATCTACATTTTTTCCCATTTATAGTGCAACGCCAACATGGACTTGATTTTAGCTTCTCAGGTGGCGTGATCTGTCCACAGTTGAAGATTAGGTGTTATGTATTATCAATGCTCATTATCACCCTGTATGATAGTACTTCGGTTTAGTTTCGAATCATATCATATAATTCATTGGCAAATAATGAACTTTCGCTGTGAATCATTTTGGTTTATTTATTTTTTCTTTGGAAAATATGCTTATGCTTGAGAGGTGAGAACACCATTTGCTTGCTCTATATTAATGTTGTTTTGTCGCGTGTCCATACTGCTTATTAAACTTTTAGCTTGATTGCTTCTTGCGGTAAAAGCATACCCGCTTCCACTTTAAGCAAACTGTCCAGGCAATTTTCTGTTGTTTCATTCCAATTTGAGTATCAAAACGAGTGACTGTTGTGAACATCAAGCCTTGCAACCTATAAAGAATATTACTTTCCCTCCCTTCCTCCTTCCTTCCTTGGCGTTGTCTCTTTTTTCGTATTATTTTGTGATATTATTGCAATTCTTTTACGCATTTTACCATTGATCACATATAAAACAAAAGTTGATAAGTGATCCGACATTCAAACATTTGATAATGTTGTCACAAATTTCAAAGGAAAACATTCTTCTCTCTCTCTCTCTCTCTTCCACTCTTTTTCCTCATTTAAACATGTTGACTGCCCGTTGGCAAGTAATTTTCGTGTCGCTAACAAAGCATGGATCCCTTAGCATGAGAGACTCTCTATCTCTTGGGACGTGGTGTTCCTATCCATCCAAACCAACATTTCACGTAAATTATTGTCATTTTGAAAGAAAATTAGGTACTTCATTGTACTTTGCCCATGGTTATCATTCATTTGGTTTAATGTAGATGTCTACTCGTATCGTACCGAAATCGGCAAACAAGTCCACTCTCATCTCTAGAGAAAGCTTCTAGGTGCTTAGGGAGTAGGACTTTCCCATCCATCGGAAGAAAATATGAAAATTTGCTTCACTCAACATGTGACGGCTGCTTCCAAAAGCACCTAAAAATTGCTCTAGTTTCTCGCCCAATCTGACAATGGAGAAAAAACAGGTGGTCCCATGATTGACGTTCAAGGAAAAAAAACAGCATTGTGTGATCAGTTGTCTTGCAGAGATATTAGTCGACCTGTAAAATAATACTGCCCACACCACATGAAGACTACACGACCTCCAGTATTCGGAGTTGATGTCATTCATTGTTATAAACTTCATCTAGTGTGTAATTAAGTGCATAACGCTGCTGTTTCACCATACATTTGGTGAGTCCAATCTTGGAGATGCTCCCAAAGTTATCGGATTGCAGTTCCAAGCATGCCTCCTACTGCATGGACCTTCAAGAGACTCAAGATCTTGGAGATAGCCAAGGAACAACTCAATAATCTCTGCAGTGACGTGAAGAAAAGCTGAACTTGCCAAGCAACAACAGCAGAGAATCGGTGGATTAAAAGCATGGAAACTGACATTCTGTCGAAAGGCGACGGAGAGATTAGGAAGAAGTGTATGGGAGGTGCTGTCCAAAGAACTGCGTGTCCATCTACAAGCTTGGCAAGTTGGTTGAGACGAAGCAGAATGAAGTGAAAGAACTCGTGGATAAGGGTCACAGCTTCGAAATCGTCACAGACGTGTCTGCTCATCCTCCATCGGAGGAGATACCAAATGGAGAAGTATGTGGCCAAGCAATTGCTGGGGTGATTGAAGAGTACAAAGGCTTGCCACTTGCTCTTAAAACTGTTGGCCAAGCAATCGCTGGGAAGATGAGTCCAGAGGAATGGAAGCACGCAATATACTTACGGATATCCTCCTTCCGATCAACTGCTGAAAAAGCCCACAGAGATCAATTATAAGTGCAATTTAGACCCAGTGTTGCTGGAAAAGATAGCCTGTGTCTTTCTTATTTTCCCTTTTCCAGCCTACAAGTTCCCAACAGTGTAGCCAAATCTGTTTCTGTCTTATAAAAATGTCTAATGGCATATTTAACTTTCCACTAAATTTCTCTTTATTCTCACCAATAATCCCCACAAGAACATGAACCCCCACTAAAGTGGTGAAAACGGTGATTATCTCTTAAGATTATCAATCTGTCTACAATTTTTGAAATGCATTTTAATGCATTGTGGCAGTCCCCACAAACTCTCAAGTTTTTGATCACTCGGATTGGTCTACCAGCAGGAACCGACAAGATGCCAAATGCTACAGCCAACCTCTCGCTATGATACTTTAGCATCTGCTCCTTCTCTTCTTCTTCCACGTCGTGCAAAACCAACTTGGTTGACGGAACATACCCTGCAAGCTTTATTTTCAAATCTAACTCTTCTAGAAAGGCATATATTCTATCTTTTTCCGGGTGGAAAGGGTCACCAACAGAGAATGTATGGATCTTGTTCTGGACCTCAATCCAACTATAACCAGGCACTTTCTTTACACCTTTGTTCCTCATCTTCAATCTCATTCTACCCACATCAGCCCATCTACCAGATGCTGCATATAAGTTTGAGAGGAGTACGTACATGCCAGAATTCTCAGGTTGCATCTCAAAAATCATCTTTGCGGCTTTCTCACCTAGTTCAGTGTTGCCATGAATCCTGCTTGCACCTAGTAGAGCACCCCATGTTGCAGCATCAGGCTCAAAAGGCATGTCTTTCATCAACTTAACCACCTCAGCCAGCTGTCCAGATCGACCAAGAAGATCAATCATGCAAGTGTAATGCTTGTCATTTGCTGTTATACCATAATCCTCATGCATCGTATGGAAGTATTTCAGCCCTCTCTCGACTAAACCATTATGGGCACAAGCAGACAACACACCAACCTGAAAGAAGCCACTAGGATATTAGGTAGAGAAGTTACAGGCGTCAAATGTAACATGAAGCTAGAAAACCATCATATATGAATTACTATGCTTACAATCTAACGATGTAAATATCTCTAGGTAAAAGCTCATTTGAAGGTGCCAATTAACCGTTAAAAATCTTCAGTGAATGTACTGAAGAAAAAACGAGTAAGTTCATTGTCAAACCCACCTTCATCATGGATTTAAAGGTGAATATAAGGAAAGATTAAATAGTTCATGCAGAACCATAGCAGCAAAATAGAATAAACTCTACTTTTTAGTTCATCATTGCGACTGAAGGTATGTTTTCAACAGGTCTCACTCTAAATACAGAATCATCATCATGAAGGTGACCCTAACTCTGGAGAACACTAATATTGGGGATCCATTGGGGATCAAGGAAGCATATGGTCGCTGATATATGATACTTATCTTGGCGGAACTAACTTCCAATAAGCAGCAGCACTGGAGGGGCTAACTACAGAACTTCAACATTTTTCTTCTTGTACTCTCCATTAGAAAATTGCTTTCCATAACTCCCAACAAATGATCATTTTCATACAAGAAAGGAACTCAACTGAACTGAAAGAAAAGGTCAAGGAGACATTTACCATTGTTACATCGTCAGGTTTGATGCCTGCTGCCTGCATTGACTCAAAAATCACCAAAGCTTCTTTTCCAAATCCATGCCTTGCATAACCAGCAATCATAGTATTCCATGAGACAACATCCTTGTCCGATATATCTTGAAATGCATCATAAGCTTCTTCTATGCTTCCACACTTGCAATACATTGACAAAAGTGCATTCCCCACAAACCACCGAGACACATATCCCGCCTTGACTAGTCGGCTATGCATTTGCTTTCCCAACTCCAAGGCAGCAATATCAGCACATGCACTCAATGAACATGTAAAAGCAGACCTATTTAATCTTTCTCTAGCTCTGTTCATCTCTACAAACTGATGCAAAGCCTCCTCGCAATGACCAGTTTGAGCATAACCAGCAATAATGGCTGCCCAGGAGATGCAGTCACGCTGAGGCATCTCATCAAACAAACTTCTAGCTTGAGAAATATTGCCACTCTGAGCATAGCATGTGATCATTGTATTACATGAAGCAATGTTTCGACATGGCATTGCCTCGAATAACTCCTTTGCCATGTCTATTTTCTTATATTGAACATAACCAGCAATCATTGCATTCCAAGAAACTGTATTCTTTTCTGGCATCTCATCGAAAATCCTTCTTGCTTCATCCAACAATCCATTCTGCACATAACCAGACAAGATTGCTGTCCATGCAAAAACATCCTTAGTCGGTGACTCCTCAAACAGTCTCCTTGCTTCAGACAACTCACCATTCTGCGCATAACCGGTAATCATTGTATTCCATGAGACTTCATCTTTAACCGGCATCCTATCAAAAAGATTCCTAGCATCAACAAACCGCTTCTTCTTCACATACCCAGCCATCAAACAATTCCAAGGTACCACCTCCCAATCTGTCTTCGAGTCAAACAACATCCGCGCCTCCTCTAGCCTTCCGTTCTGTACGTACGCCGCGAGCAACCCGTTCCACGACACGGCATCCCTAGTCGGCATCTCATCAAATATGCCGCGTGCCTCATCAACATACCCATACTGGGCATAACCCGACAACATCGCATTCCAAGAGACTACATCCCTCGTGGGCATCCACCCAAACAGCGCCCGAGCTGCAAAAAGGTCCCTATTCTTCACATACCCAGAGATCATCAGATTCCACGAAACCAAATCTCTCGCGGTCTCGGGCATTCCGTCGAACACTTGCCTGGCAAGACTGAACTTGTCATTCTGCAAGTACCCAGAGATCATGGCATTGTAAGAGACGGTGCTCCGGCAGGGCATCGAGTTGAAGACCCTCAGAGCGGCCTCGCATTGCCCATTGCGCATGTGGGAAGTTATGGCCATGTTCCATCTGATCACGGCAGGGACTCCCGAGGCGACCGGCGACTTTCGCTTTGGTCCGCTCTCTTCCGGCGACGAAGATGGCGACGGCGGCGATGTTCGCCTCCAACAAGAAGGCTTTGAGCTCGTCTTCACGGTTGGCTGAGGCGAGCGAAGGGAGCGGCTGATGTGAAACTGTCTGTACCAGTAGTTCCCGCGCAGCATCCCTCGAGCTGTCAGGGCTTGGATGGGGAGGGCGAGGGGAACGATAGACGACGAGGGTCCTCATGTGCACGAACGATGACGAGTCGATTCGGATGACGAAACCTGGTGCTTCGCAAGACTAGGATGCGGCGAGAAGTGGTGATGATGACCGACATGCGTCGGGTTCCCAGAAAAAAATGTTGCCAACGTCATGTTGTTAGACGTGGGTACAGCGGATCATAGTCTTTTACGACTGATTTCGTCTTGTGCCTCGTCAGGATCTCGGAATATGAAGATTTGAGGAAATTGAGGGAACATGACATGACGAAAGCCCTTATTGAAGCTTCGGCTCCCTTCCATTAGTGAGGTAACACCTTAACCACACCAAAGATCCAAAAAAAGGCCTTGATTAAACCCGATCCATGTCGGGTTCCATGAAAAATCGTTGTCAACGTCATGTTGTTAGACGGGTGCAATGGATCATACTTCCTTTACAATTGTTTTGCATTTGATCACGACGATTTTATATAATATTGTAAATCAATTTAATGACTTGTTACGCTGTCGCGTTGTATGGTACACCCAAGGTACCGAAAGGTCCGGAGTGCCAATTATTATTTTCCTTCAAAGATTTAATAAGGAAAAAAAAATTCTGATTTAACTTTGCAAACTAAGTAGAAATCTAATCCGCCACAAGTTAACATTTATAAAATTGTGGAAGATAAGATGCTTGATGTTAAATAAGAATCAAATTCCAAACAGCTACTTGAAAAGGAAAAACAAAACAGAAAGGTAAAAATCAAAGATATCCGAACATGTGCTGAGCCTAACAATATTTGTTTTAATATAAAACTCTATTAAAAAACAAAATTTACCTTTTAAATCTTATACACTGGGCAATCTGAATTGAAATCCCACTAAAGAGAGTAACCTAAACTAATTACGAGCGAATAATTCGATTGGTAGTACAAGTACCTCCACCCAATTAATGTCACTATACTATCCCATGAGAGAGTGGTTGGTTACAGAGGCAATGAATTGGTGGCGATTGCCGCAGTGGACTGATCGTGGCCGGCTAAAAGAGGATGGCGAGGAAGCAAAGACGCGGATAGCAGTAGTGGATTGGCATCTCAGCGCAAGTCAAACAATCTGAACAAACATAAGATTAGCCCATCCATGCAGATGTTGCATTGCCAGATCGAGATTATTCAAAGACCAACGATACATCCTCCGACCAATCAAAGTCGAACTCCTTCCGAATGCCAGTCAACCGTGTGCCCGATACTCGATGACAACATGGGTCACATTCAGAACCATTTCGGATACTCTTAAGAGTCGGAAGACAAATCATTGTCCTTATTCAGATAGATGGTCGACCTCTTGTCAGTCGCGGGATACATAAGAGTAACGATGATGTCAAATGTTTCTCCCTAAGTAGCGCTGCAACATTTAGCTTTCTTAGCCAGATGAACGACTAGCAGCAGATGTGCATACCTCCACCTGTCCTAGATCAGGGTTGACAATGTTAGATCCTAATGAGTGAACCTGGACAGTCGGTTCGTCCACAGAGGTAAGCAGTTGCATCATTTACGCTCACAGAGACAATGAAGTGTGCAGTGATACCACAGTAAGTTCAGCTCCAATTACCTTATCGGAGAGGCATTGAGCATTGATAGCATACCGTAGTATCGAATTCGCATTAATTTGCATGTCCTAACATTTCGTCATTTCTTCCTAGTAAGAAAGATCCCAATTACGTCTTCCCACACCATTCATAGAGAGAGATTCATTGACCAGAAGTCCTATCTGGAAGTGAAACTAATTTCTGCTTGCCTTAGAAGGATTACATTGCTGAGATTGTCACCTATAAGAGACCTGAATCACTTTCATTCACTCCTCGATCAATTAGAGCTCATTGTGGAAGAAGAAAAGGCAAGAGAATATTGCACTCTGGAGATCAATACTCCGTATTTTGTTATGTCTTCATAAAAAAAATGGTAAAAGATTGACCATTACCTTACCAAGAACCTCACCTTCTGAAGAGCCGTGTTCACTGTTCCAGGTGGTTGGAGCCAACCCTCAGTTATGCTGATGAATGGTCATGAATAGAGGCCACAGCCAGAAACAGTCACCGTTACCGCCCTGCTTGCTTGCAAATATACAAGTATGATTATGGGGAGCTCACGCCTTATCCTCAGTAGAATTGTCTTAGCTAATGAGACCACAGGTGCTGTTCTCCTCAATCTGTCTTTCTATTGTCCAAGTCATGAACCATAGGAGATTCAGCGAGTAAGAAATCTTGAAATCTCTTAAGTGATCATAATTCCAAGAATATACATGTTACCTTATCAGAATGGTTGACCATGCCATACAATAGTAAAGGATTCAAAATTACTCCAAAATTTCTCAATGAACAGCATAAATCTTCTACATATCAACTGCTACCTCATGGCTCATCTTCCCCTCCTTTCAAGCCTTCCTCTCTTTCTAAATGTCTTCTTATTTTTTCATCTTTCAGGAAATCAAGAAACGTGTCCCCTCATAGGCCATGTAGCCTCTATAAGAACAGGATCCTTTTAGAGGACAAAGAATAGGGACATAATGTGTGTGTCAGCTCCTCATTCAACATGGCAGGAGTCGAGTCTGAAGGGGGCAGGGGATGATCTGTTGTTCTTTTCTAGTTTTAAGTGTGTAATGGTTCGGGTTCAAGTGATAACAAAGTAAGAACCAAAAATAGAGATGCAATGTAAGGTCCACAACAGAAGCCAACCCTATATGCTCCCCATCAAGTATTCTAGGTATCCCAAAGAGCTTGAATCCTGGTAGTGTCAACCAATTCGCTTTAACTTGTTTTACTTTGAAAAACAGCCTTGTTCATTCGACATTGACCGTAATACCCTTTTTCATCTGAAGATGTAAGGTGTACTAGGGTGAAGCTAAAAACTCGAATAAAGAAGGCATCATTTATGGTGGGACAGCATTTGGTTCAATAACCACTGCCTTCATTGACTCAAAAATAATCAAAGCCTCCTTTAAAAGTCCATGCCTTGCATAACCAGCAACCATGGTATTCAATGAGGCAGAATCCTTGTCTGCTATACCATGAAATACATTGTAAGCATCTTCAATATTTCCACACTTACAGTACATTGCAAGAAGTGCATTCGCCACAAAACATCCAGATTCGTATCCTGCCTTTATCAGGTATCCATGCAATTGCTTTCCCAATTTCAAGGCTCCAGTTTCAGCACATGAACTAAAAGAACAAGTCAAAGCTGATCTGTTTGGCCATTCTCCATATCTGTTCATGTCTAGAAGCAGCTGCAAAGCCTCTTCAAAATGCCCAGTTTGAGCATACCCAGAAATAATAGCAGCCCAAGAGATGCAATCATGCTGAGGCATCTGATCAAACATGCATCTAGCTTTGGAAATGTCACCGCCCTGAGCATAGCCCGTGATCATTGTATTCCAAGAAGTGATGTCTTGACAAGGCATCACCTCAAACAACTGTCTCGCTTTGTCTATTTCCTTTGATTGCACATACCCCGCAATCATAGCATTCCAAGAGACACTATTCTTTTCCGGCATTGCATCAAAGATACGTTTTGCTTCATCCATCATTCCCTTTTGCACAAATCCAGACATTAAAGCTGTCCATGCAAATACATCCCGAGCTGGTGAGGCATCAAACAATCTTGTTGCTTCTGACAACTTGTCATTCTGTGCGTAACCTGCAATCATAGTGTTCCAGGAAACTTCATCTTTGAAAGGCATCCGATCAAAAATCTGTCTTGCATCAACCAACATCCTCCTCTTGACATACCCAGCCATCAGATAATTCGAAGGAATCACCTCCCAATCCGTCTTCAACTCAAAAAGCTTACGCGCTTCTTCCATCCTACCATTCTCTACAAATGCAGCAAGCAACGAGTTCCAAGATATATTATTCTTGCAAGGCATCTCGTCAAAGACCTCTCTCGCCTCATCCACCAGTCCATTTCGGGCATAACCCGACAACATCGCGTTCCAAGAAGCAACATCCCTCGCAGGCATTTGACGAAACAATGCGACAGCAGCAGAAACATCTCCATTCCTCATGTACCCACTAATCATACAATTCCAAGAAACCAGATCCCTCTCCGGCATTTCATCAAACATCTCTCTAGCAAGACCCAACTGGCCATTCTGCCAGTACCCTGTTATCATCGCATTGTACGAGACGACACTCCGATGGGGCATCGAGTTAAAGATGCGAAGAGCCAGCTCGCACTGGCCGTCACGCATGTGGGCAGTGATGGTCATGTTCCATCTTCTCACGTCCCCGTCTTCTGATACAGTTGTCGGGCGTCGCTGCCACTCGTTCGTTCCCGGCGGTGAAGTTTCCTCCGAGGAACACGTCTTGGGTTCTCTGCTTCTTCTCGCTCGGAGCTGGCGATGAGAGCAGAAATGTCTGTACCAGCAACGCCCACGCATTGCTCGGCCAATCAAAGTTTTGAAGAGGCTCGAAGTGGTGGGACATGGGTTCCTAATCTAAACGGCAAACGAGCAGCTTGGAGAGTATATCAGCAAACGACGCCTCAAGATATCATCACATCACATCACAACTTGATCTGTCACCTTCGTTCTGAGCAAACCAACACCACCTCGTTGCAATTTGAACTGCGCCTTCGATCGATTTGCCATTACAGCGAAACGGTAGCAGCAGGATCGGACTGACGTTCATCGGCCGTTCGAGCAACCTGCGGCTTCGCGATGTCCGCGAGCAGCAGCTTCTCCAGTCCTCGAGCGCGCAACAATCATTTTATTGAGAAGTGACCTCTGTGAGAACCCCAAAAACATTAAACTACCATTTTATTGGAAATGCTTTTCACATTTCATTGAATTGAAATCATAATAAAAATGATAGGAATGAATCTCCCATTTTTTCGAGTTAACTAGATAATTTTAAAAATATTTTCTTAATAATAATCACTTATATTATCTAAATAAAATGAATGAACGAGTATTCATGAAAATTTTTAGACATCGATTATTATCGATAATGAAATAATTTTCATTAACTTATTATTTCAAACGATACAATCAATTAGTTTTAAGAAAATGTTATTCAATCCATTTATTTTCGTCAGATAAACGGAGCCTAAAAGGTAAATTTGTCGATAAACTCATTTCTTATCTTTGGATTTAGAATTGCAAAGCCCGAAAATTTTGATGTGTTAAATGAGTTCAAAGATTTACCAAGAAAAACAGGTTTCTACGAAAAAAAGAAAGAAAAAAGAAAAAAGAAAAGAAGAAGTGGAGGAGAGCCGCACGTGTCAATCACGTGATCGTTCTCGTGCGCGATTTGATCACCTTCTGGTCCGAAGTTTAATTCAGACGGCGAGTTTCTCGTCGGAACCCAACGTCGTCTCCGCCTCGAATTCTCTGGTCAGCGCGCGAGCATCAAGGGGGGAAAATGGCAGCTCCTTCGGCCTCGAAGCTGGCCGCGGCCGCGGAGAGGGTCGGCTCCGCCGCGCGCCGCCAGGTCCTCACCCTGACGGACGCCGCCGCCTCCAGGGTCCGCCAGCTCCTGCAGCAGCGCCAGCGCCCTTTCCTCCGGCTCGGCGTCAAGGCTCGCGGCTGCAACGGCCTGTCCTATACCCTCAATTACGCAGGTATAGCCGTTCGGCAATCTCGTACTTCCCGAAATCCTGGGGATCATTTTTTCCTTTTCGGATCGTTTCTACCGATAATTGATCTGCTTACGTTGGAATCTGGATAAGGTTGGGTTTTTCGACAAAGAACGAGGCTTTGTGTCTCCTTGTCCCGCAATTCTTTTGCTCTAACTTTGCTTTTTTTTGGTGGATTGAGTAATGCATTTCGGGGATGACTTTAAGAGGTTACGAATTTCGTGGATGTTGGGGTCTATCAAATTGGATGAAAGAAGATGCCGGGACCAATTCTAGGGTTTTTTGATTCCTGTGGTCGTGTGTACTTGCAGAACAAATATTTAGGGGGTTACGATGGCACGATGAATAAGAAAGAATGCGTCTGCAGGGTCTGTGGTTGAATAATGGTAGACACGGTCATTAGATGCCCCTGTTTCGAGATCGAGTTGGTTTGAAATCACCATAAGATGTTGGAATTACCTGTTGGGAATATGGTGTGGGTTGAGGTTCGATTGTACGTTGAATGGGTAGCTCAGGTTGCTTGAAATTGGATATGTTAAATGGCATAAAGTTTCAATTTGCTAAGTTACATGGTAAAACTGATGACGTTTGCATAATGATCCGACAACTATGCATTCTCCAAAGCATGCTTCTCATTTGTATCTGCATCATGTAAGTGGTTTTTTATAGAAGTCTGTTGATGACACTGATGAGGTATTTACCCTTCAATCCAGAGTAGCGGAAATTTCATAGTTTTCAAGTGAAGTCTATTAAAATTTGAAATGACATACCGGCAAGTTATTATGACTATCATTGTTTGTTGTTTACATTGTTCTTTAATACTTTGTCACATGATGATAAAGCTCTCATGGGAAAACCATCATTAGAGTACTAAATTTCCTCATCGGATTACTAACTCATAAAAAAGAAATAAACAAAGTGCATTAAGCTTTCGAGATGATGAATCCAACTTCTGCATTTGCATCTTATTTCTATTTATTTTATTGGAATAGGCATGCTGCTATGATATTTTACTTGATATATTGCAACTTCATAGAGGAATCACTTGACCTCATTTGAAGTGGTTGAAACTTACTTAATTGTCTAGAAAATGTCAAATTTCTGATATTATTGTCCGTACGGTTTTATCATTCAATTTGACACCCAAGGTTGGGCTTCATAAATGCTCTTTGGTGATATTTTTGCCTGGTTTTTGCGCTTGCTTGGACTTGAGTGCATCACTTGTGGTTTTTTTTTGGGGTAAAATTGATTCCTCTGGGAGCAACTGCATTTCCTACTCAATTTTCTGAATTTCTCATAATGCTGTTCCAGAAGTAAATCCTTGAGATTTTAAGTATGACGTAAAGCGTTGTGGCAATCTCTAAAAAATGAGAAAAGGAAAGAGAAATGGTCTGTCCTGTTTGAAGAAAATACAAAAGGTCAATTCTTTGGTTAGTAATTTAGACAGTTGATTTTCGACCAAAATAAAAAATAAACAGTTAATGATGTTTTTGGTTGCTGGGTGTTAAGTTTGGGTTTGGCTTTGCTTTGTGAAATTTTTTAGTAAATTTGGTGACCAGTCTTAATTCCTGGGTCAAAAGCTGGAAAGGCTTAATTAATGTTGCTCAGTGTGGAAAACAAAACCTTAATGTTGTAGGTAATCATGAAATATTCTCAGGAATCAAAATGTCTCAGTGTAACTTTTGCTTCGTTTTGGTTGTGTGTTAAGATACAAGAGTCCAAATCTATGATTTTTTCCAGAATGAAGGCATCTGCATCTGTCTATTTTTGTTATGCTCCTGTTTTGTGATAGCATCCAAAAGCAGGGACTAGATTTTTTTTTAACAAATTTATCTTTCTTCAGTCATGTTTATTAGGCAAGAATTCTGGCCATTGTCACATGTTTATGTTCATATCTGAGAGGGTTTGAAAACTTACTGTCTCATATGGCAAGAGGGCTGTCAGAGAGTTGTCCTCTAAAGTTCTTAGTCATCTTAGTTTTCTGTATAGGATGCTAATTTATGTTTATACTGATAAAATGTAAAGGTTAACCATCTTTCATGAAAGGTAATGAGACAGAGCAAACATTGATAGGAAATAATTGCAGATTGAGACCTTCTTATCCATGTATGCCTGGACCCAAAACACGGAAATAAGTAGATAAACCATACCTTGTGAGTTTCAAGCTAGTGATTGATGCTCCTATTGTCTTTTCTTTTCTGATACATTGATTACTCGTCTACTGGAGGAAATTTTGTCTACTAATTTTCAGATGCAAAAGGGAAGTTCGATGAGTTGGTTGAAGACAAGGGCATTAAGATATTGGTTGAACCAAAGGCTCTAATGCATGTTATTGGAACCAAGATGGACTTTGTAGATGACAAGCTCAGGTAACTGCTGTGCATCTCATCTATTCCCCTATCATGTACAAGAATTATTTTTTCTCCATAGTCCATATATGACGAGTATCCAAAATTTATTCAACTCACCGTAATTTACAACTTATATTCTAGTCTAGATACGATGTTATCCGGGGAAAAGAAAATTACTTTAGCTGCAACTTTATTTGCACATTATGTCTGTTGAAGTTGCTTCTAGGTTCTAGACCTAACATTAATTTATATGTCTGATGGAAGATACATTGAACAAGTGTTAGTCGATGTGTGTCCAGATACTTGTGCAAAAGTCCAACTGTATGTGTAGTTGGTTAAGTTATAGAGGGCTTGCAAAATGCCCTTGATTGCAAGGATTTAGTCCCTAGGTTGACTGATGATATGATCTAATTTTGGTTACATTTCTGTCTGTAATGATCTTTTTGGATTTTATACTACTTTATCTCGCCTCCCAGTGTTGACTAGCTTCTCTGCAGGTCTGAATTCATCTTCATCAATCCAAATTCTAAAGGGCAATGCGGCTGTGGAGAGTCCTTCATGACGACGAGTAATTCAGAGGCAGCTAAACGTGGAGGCAGTTGAGGATGTCACAAATGTATGTCATGACTGAAGCATATACTAGGACATGGAAAAAACGTATCGTCCCTGTCAATGGAAAATGTTCTGCTAACCACTTGTTTGTTAGATCATGGCCGAAATAAAGAGCATTGCTTCCTCTTTTCTCCCTTTTCTTCTTGGGGAAGGTTGCAAAATCTTTTTGTTTGTCTGAAGATCTTTTGTCTTGGGGCAACATACTGTGTATATTTGGCTTCCTGAACAGATGTGTGTTTCCCACAGATGTGTATTTCCCACAGCGTAAATAACAGGCAGAGTTGTTGCTATGCGGTCAGTTTCATATTTTCTCATTTGTGCTTGTGTTTTCTGAATGTAGTTAACAAGACCTTGTATTTTTTCCTTCCTATGTCTGTTTGTCTCTCAATACTTAGCTTGGTAATTAGGGTAATCCTGAACTTGGGTCCATTTTCACGGATCAGTAAAATGTGTTTTAATTCAAACAAGTTCTTTTCGCATTATAAGCTATGGGATTCAGAATCTTAGATTCATACAAACGCTTCGTTCATAAAAAACAGTGAGAATATGATTTGAGTATGCAGATTTGTTATTGGAGAGAAAATGTCCGATGCTCTCGGACGCGTATATCTTTAGCAAGCTTTGACGATTGGTGTTGCTTGTGAAGTCTCAAGTCCGCTTTACCTTCTGGCACAAAATCGAGAGTGGGATTGCTTCAATGCATAATAACTGCGATGCAATTCCTAACCGGTAGGTAGATGCCATCAAATTTTGCCCATTGTTGCAAATTTCCCACTGCTGCCTCCTGTAGGAGTCAGGCCATGTCTTAGTCGGGAAAAGTGTCAAAAAAGTCCTAAACCTTTTGCACTGGTGCTAATTTAGTCCTAAACCTTTTTTTGGTGCCAATTCAGTCCTAAACCTTTTGCATTTGTGCCAATTGAGTCCTAAACATTTTTTTGGTGCCAATTCAGTCCTAAACCTTTTGGATTTGTGCCAATTTAGTCCTAAACCTTTTGCATTGGTGCCAATTGAGTCCTAAACCTTTTTTTGGTGCCAATTCAGTCCTAAACCTTTTGCATTGGTGCCAATTCAGTCCTAAATTTTTTGCATTTGTGCCAATTCAGTCCTTCCGGTTAATTTAGCTCAAAAAGGTTTAGGACTGAATTGGCACAAATGCAAAAGGTTTAGGACTGAATTGACACCAATGCAAAAGGTTTAGGACTCAAGTGGCAAAAAAGGTTTAGGACTGAATTGGCACAAATGCAAAAAGTTTAGGACTGAATTGGCACAAATGCAAAAAGTTTAGGACTGAATTGACATCAAAAAAAGGTTTAGGACTAAATTGACACAAATGCAAAAGGTTTAGGACTGAATTAGCACCAAAAAAAGGTTTAGGACTAAATTGGCACAAATGCAAAAGGTTTAGGACTTTTTTGACACTTTTGCCTGTCTTAGTCCTAGTGTGGCCAATCATCTCTCGGACTAGCTATGGCTAATCTGCTTAGAAACGAAATGCTCCAATGTTCCTAGATATTCTTACTCCCATTGGACCATTTGTATCTATATGCTTTGATTGCTAGCACATTCACAAATTTTCCATTAACTCTAAAATTTCACCGAATGGATTTCAGAATCCATTTTACGGCATTCAGTTTCTTCTTGCTCCCGAGCAAATGTACGGTTCACAAGTAGGTTACTCTTTTTTGGGACTTCCAGTGGTTTAACCAGAGGTCTCGTTCCTGCCCCCAAATCCAACCCCGTGTCACTAGGCCGCCATGCCAGTGGCACTTCCCGTGTTTATCAAGTCAGAATTAGCTTAAATCAAAAGCTCTGTTATTGCATCCATATAAAACAGTAAGCACCAGACAACACTCATGAAATAACACAGAGCCGGTTGATAATGTTGCAGATCCGCTCTAACAATAGGAGAGTATATTTCCAACGCAATTGGAGAAACGCTAACTGTCACAGATGAGGCTCTACGATGGCACGAATTTAACTGGAAAAAGCTCCTAAACAAGATTTTGTCCCGTGTATTCAGACATGTCCGATCAAGAATGATTGGATTCACCTGAGAAGAGCGCAGATCTTATGTCTCAATTTCCGTCTTCTTGGGAGTAGACAACCGGTGCTTTGACCATTCTTCCAGTGCCTTCCTGTGGAGCCCATTCATCCGAATGTAAGGACGTCTTTCCTTGATTATCCTCTCGGCATTTTTCCAGTCTTCTGCAACCCCAAGAGCCACCAGCAGAGCACATGATACCGCCACACTCCTTCCATGACCTGGAGATCAGTTTAAAGAAAAACATTTCTCAAATAGATGCAAATAGTTTCGCTTGATAAGTGCCAACAGAAGAAAAAACATGAACAGAACTTCACACGAGACAATGCACATCTAGTAAAATCATCTTCCTCGGTAACGTCAGGCACAAAAATTCTGAGTTCAAGGAAGAACTCTGTCCCATGAAGGACAATCTCAACAACTCTTTAATAGCAAAATCTAGATGTTCCTCTAGTGACAATAGTATGTAATGCTTAACACCATAATGTCACTAATTCAACCACATTATCAAGGTCTCATGTTACACGTTAAGATCACTAAATTTGGTGTCTCAAATATTCTTGCACCAATAGAATATATCATCTCATCCCACTAGTAAGAAAATTTATCCTGTATCTCTTTGCCCGATGACATAATGATGCAAGACATGTATAAATCCAATTTCCATAACTTCCCTCTATACTCAAATCATGCATTAACATTTCTTCATCTTGTGTCTGACTACATATTCTAGTATGTGTCATGCTAATTGATGCATCCCTAAGTAATCAATTAGACTCAAATAGTTGCTGAAGAGTACACGCAGAACTGCAGAAGGCAAGCAATTCTACTAACAAGTTGTTAGATCTCAACATGGAGATATCATCTTTCGCTCAAATGATTCTATGTGTATTTTTTTGCCAATACTTCTATAACATGAAATATAAGAACTGAGAACAACTATTAACTGTTCCGTTTTCTTTTCTTTCTTTAGATAGTGCCACTATAATTTTACACAATATTTAGATGTTAGACATTAGTATTGACCTTTTTCTGGTTTAGAACAAAACATTTATCGACTTAAATGTTACAAAATAAACAGCTTGAGCTTAGGAGCACTGCAAAGTTTAACAGATACGGCTTAGGAAAAAGGTGTCATCCTCAAATAATCTGATCTAATAAATAGGACCCTAAGTGTGCTTGATGCGATTATAGAAATAGACAGCTCACAAATCAAGAGAATAAACCGAGGAGATAGCCACTTGATATCATACATTTACTTGAAGGTTCAATACATGTCACACTAGTTTCAAAATCCCAATCACTTGAGGAGAGTAAGTAACAAAGAAATTGATTGAGAATATGAACATCAGCTGTGTTACACAGTTACTCGTTGATCAAGCTTCATGCAGTTAAAACACTTCTACGACAGCGGAGTGCCTATTGTTAGAATTTGAATCCTGGGATATAAAAAGATAGATAATTGATCCTACACTACCCACAACAAGCTTTCTGACAAAGTTGAACATATATCACTCCTAGACATGCACATAAATCATGATCAACACCGAATGCTCAACAAAAATATCTTTTCTCATCCATACCATAGGCACAATGAATGAACACAGGCCTGTTCAGTCCCCTCTTCCTACAAGCCCACTTCACTGCGGACTCGATCTCCCCTGGCCCCGGCGACCGCGTATCCCAAGTCGGGACGCAGAAATACGCGTGCCCGCGCAGCTCCGGCCGCCGCGGAAGCTCGCAAGTGCAGTCCACGATCGCAGGGTCGCCGGGAGGCAACTTATCGAGCGAAGAAGGCCACCCACCAACAAACACCCCCTCGCAGATCTCGCTGTACGGGGCCTCCCCGCTCCTCAGCCGCCTGACCGCGGAGAAACCCCTGACGAAGTACAGGTAAGGACTGAAGATGACGACCGACCAGACGGGGAAAGACCCATCTGGGTTCTTGCCCAGAAGCAGAGGGAGGTTGATGGACGGGTGCGAAGCGAGCGAGACGAGCAGCGACACAAGGGACGCGTACAAGAACGGCAGGGACAGCAATTCGAAGCCAGAGCTCCTGAGGTATGCGAAGAACAGGAACAACGCCGTGGCCTTCAACCCAATCAAGAACGATATGCCCACTCCCATAACAAGTCTCTTCCAAACAAGAATCGAACTGCTATGCTAGTGCTTAACAAAAATTCAAGCGCGGATTCTTTCTTCTGGGCTGAAGGGTGTATGCAAGATGAATGATCTTGAAGAAAAGTAAGAGAGAAAAGATTCGGAAGAACGAAGGAATTCGATGCGTTCGACACGACCATTTGACGGCGTGAACACGACTTCGCGTTTTCTTGCATTCGTTGTGTCATATGAAGCTTAACCGGAAGTCGAACCGGACCGACGTTTCAACCGAAACTTGTCGCAAAACGAGCCGGAAGTCTCTACGATCCGGCCCCCAAAAAAAGTTTCGTGATCTGATAAAGAAACGGGAAAACGGCAACTAATAATCTCTAAACCTTAGCCCATTGTATAATGTCGTATTTGAACTTTTAATATGAACAATATAATCCTTGAACTATTCCTGAATGTTCGATCTAATTATTAAACTTTCGATTTGTTCAATCTAACTCTTTAACTTTTGATAGCTAAGTCAAATCAATTATGTTATTACTCATATTTTAGAATGTCTTTTCATTTTAATCCATTCACGAATAGATAAAAGATATGGAGATTTTTTTCATAACCTTTTTGTTATAGACCTATATGTGTGTGTTTATGATCACTATAATTGGAAAAACTAGAACCTCATTTAGAGTTGTACAAGTTGATGTTCCCCTTATTTTAATTTATTAACTTGCAAATGTAACTAAATGGAGTTAAGAAAACACGAAATACAAAAGCTAGAAATTTTTATCTATGTAAACGATTAGGAATAATATTTAAATTAATATAAGTACGATTATCTACAGATAAGTTAATGCACTTTTTCAGATAAGGTTAATACCACGAAAAATTCCAAGCTGATACACCCGTAACAAATTTACCTATAACTAATTTTTTGACCACCAAAAATTCAAAAATGGTACAATACGAATTTAGACATTTATTTTTGGCATATGGTTTGGGTGAATGGTTCTATTTGCTCGTATTAAGTTTGAAATCGATACGTTATTAACCAATTAGAATACATATGAATTCAGACATTTATTTTTCGCACCCAATTCTACCTGTTTGTAAAATTTTGTGAGCTTCTCTCATGTCCTCCCTCTATGTCGAGTCATGAGTATTGAATTAGTTGTAGTGGTAATGGTTAAGACCTATCTATTAATTTTTTTTTAAGATCAAAACGAAAAGAACCGAAAAATTTTGGTTGAAATGCTACTTCAACAGGTGAGGAACTTTTGGTCGAAACAGGTGAGGATTGAGGATGGCTTTTCTTTCTGGGCTTGGTTGAACTTGTTTATACAGGGGGCTCTTTTCTATGCACGTTTTCTTAGTTGTGCCTGTCTGGGACAAAAAAGCTTGTTGAACTCTTAACTTGTTTTTGGCTTGTGGATATTGGTAAGAGTCTATGCATTTCAATCTTTCATATTCATCCATTAGTTGCTTCTAAAACATGGTCAAATGGGGAGTTTTCCTCAAAAACATGGTTGAAAGGGGATGTCTTTGGATGGTTGGAATTATATTCATTCATCTGGCGTAAATTTCAACATTTCGAGATGTGCATTGTGTGCTTGTGTAGTTGCATCGCCATTGTTCTACTCTCTTGCAGATTATTTGCTTACCATAAATGATAGATTAACGTGAGAGGACTAACACGCAAGATGTTTTTTATGTGGGTGCTTCTAACAACTTAGAGCAAAGGTTGATTAGAGAAACTTGTCCATAGCTAAGCAAGTGATGGACATCTGCTTTTCAGAATTTAGCTATGTGAGAGTTGCATATGTGGAAAACAAAACTGGATTTGGAATTATAGATGCCTTAATATGATGGGATTCGTTGTAATGCAATCATGGGCATGCTGAAAGCCGATGATTATTTGGGAGATGCATTTATCTAGGTAAATGTATCGTGGGTAGTTGATTTTCTCTTGCCATGAGCTCCGTTTTGGTTTGATGTTTTGTATAACTGCCTATCCTGTGTGAAGCGTTATGGTTTCCCAGTAATCTTTTCAGTGACCTTCCAAAATGTTAACATGCTCTGCTGTTTCCCTTTTGCCTTTTCTTCTCAAGGAATGTGATAAAGATGTCTCGGAGTTTCTCAATTTCAATTTTAATGTCTCCCATCATGGTGATTATGTGGCAATAGCATCAGAACCACTATGCCTTGTGGGGTTGGATATTGTTTCTTGCACTATTCCGTGGAAAGAAATGGTTACCGAATTCATTCAAAACTTCTCATCATATTTATCAAGATTGGAGTGGGATTTTATAATAGGTGCAGGCAATGAAGAACAAATTTTGGTTGAATTTTACGGTTAGTGTTGTCCTCTTCCTATAATAATCAAGACAACTCATTCAATCGCCCTCTTCATCTGTGGTTCAAAGGTGTATACTTGTAATTTTTTTACATTTATCGCTCAAAATCGTGCCTTGTGCTCTTCTTGTGCCTCTATTAGACAATTTAGACAATATAAAATGTGATTGACAATTTAGACAATATAAAATCGTGCCTTGTGTATACTGGTCGTCCGATCATTATCAGTTTGTGTGCTAATTTGGTGTGGAACAACTGATCGAAAAGTGAGTAGTCACTTGCTTCGCTCTTCTTTTAACTTCAAATTGTGGACCATGAAGGTTACTATCTGTTCTCATAGCCAATACCAGGTAAGATTTGTATGAACGAATCATCCAGTTACTTTTTCATAGTAACACTTTAAGGAGGATTGGCTGTAAATGGATAGTGTGTGGTGACAATGGAGATTGGCTGTATTTAGAGGATACCCTTTCTTCTGCTCTTGGCTTCTTTACCTCTGCGTCTGTTGCTTTGCGTGTATCGTTCATGTACTTTATTCCATAGCTCTGCTGGCAGTGGTTTTTGGCATGGTCTAGGTGAACACTTTTGTCTCTCTATGTAATTAAGGCCTCTCACCTTTAAAAGAAACCTTTTCGTTTCATCATCGAGTTAGTGAATCGTTGATTGCATAATCAGAAGGAAAATGGCATCTTTTTTAGGTTCACATATGAATTTATATGTTAACGGTACGTTATTAACCCATTAGAATACATATGAATACAGACATTTATTTTTCGCACCCAATTCTACCTGTTTGTAAAATTTTAGGCGACTTATCAGTGACCCAGCCTACTCAAATATAAGTTAAAAATGAATTTTAGATCCATTTTACCACCTCTACTTAGTGGGCATAATTCAAGGGTTTTGGTAATAAAAAAAGGTTTGGCTATTGATATCTCAGTGGATGTAGATTATTGATTGTGGGGATATAGAAAAAGTGAGGAATTTTGGTGTAGATGATGATAGTTTAGGATTCTTTGCGATATTAATCCTAAAAAAAACTATCTAATAAGAATATTAAGATATCAATAAAAGAATTGAACTCCAAATTAAGAATCAAATGTAATACAATAACTAATTAACAGGCTAAAATCTACCGTAGAAATCAATGTAATGACAGCAGACGAGTATCCACTATCCAGAAAGTGAAGGTCCATCAATGGAGGAGGGAGTTCGCAGATGGTTGGTGAACACATCAAAGTGGTGCCCATCTTCCCAAGACTTCTCTTTGGCCCTCTCTCTCTTCCCTCCTTCTCAACGCTCCTCAATCCTCAGGTTCTTTCTCGCTCTCTCGAGTTGGTATTCTTCATCTTTGGTCGCTGGGGTCAATTGGGTCCAAGAGGAGAGTGATGCAGAACCGAAAGAGAACATCAAAATGGCTTTTTGATCTTTTTTCTTTACGTGGGTAGATTCGTTAAAAGCGAGGATAGGAAGAGGGCATTGGTCAGTCGGCTGCTTCAGTATGCTCTGTTGCATCAAGTGCTGGGAATCCCATACGAGCAAATTAGCATCAAACGCACCTTGGAAGGCAAACCATATCTGGTATGATTGCAGTTGTTCCTGACTGTACCTCAGTTTTCTTTTCTTCGGTTATTTTGTGTGGTTCTAATTTTGGGTTTCAGTAATTTTGATCGTTCGGTTTACGTGTGAGCAAACTTAACTGGTAGGGTGATTTCTGCGCAAAACTAACATTTGTCAAAGGCCGAGGATTTTCTTTGTTTTGTCAAATGTCATCAGCGCGGCAAGCTTGTACAATGTTGTCGACACGTTATATGAAAGAAAACACATACCGGCGTCTATTCTGGAAATAGTTTATTACAAAGAGAAAAATTCGATTTGGAGCTTCTCTCATGTCCTCTCTCCATGTCAAGTCATGAGTATTGAATTAGTTGTAGTGGTAATGGTTAAGACCTATCTATTAATTTGTTTTTCAAGATCAAAAAGGAGAAGATACGGAAAAATTTTGGTTGAAATGCTACTTCAACAGGTGAGGATTGAGGATGACTTTTTCTTTCTGGGCTTGGTTGAACTTGTTTCTACAGGGGGCTCTTTTCTATGCACGTTTTGTTAGTTGTGCCTTTCTGGGACAAAAAAGCTTGTTGAACTCTTAACTTGTTTTTGGCCTGTGGATATTGGTAAGAGTCTATACTTTTCAATCTTTCATATTTATCCATTAGTTGCTTCTGAAACATGGTCAAAAAGGGAGTTTTCCTCTAAAAAATGGTTGAAAGGGGATGTCTTCGGAATTTGGATGGTTGGAAATTTATTCATTCACCTGGCGTAAATTTCAACATTTTGAGATGTGCATTGTGTGCTTGTGTAGTTGCATCACTATTGTTCTACTCTCGTCCAGATTATTTGCTTACCATAGGTGATAGATTAACGTGAGAGGACTAACATCCAAGATGTTTTGTATTGGGTGCTTCTAACAACTTAGAGCAAAGGTTGATTAGAGAAACTTGTCTATAGCTAAGCAAGTGATGGACATCTGTTTTTCCTGTTTTTCAGAATTTAGCAATGTGAGAGTTGCATCTGTTCGAAAACAAAACTGGATTTGGAATTATAGATGCCTTAATATGTTGGGATTCGTCGTAATGCAATCATGAGCATGCTGAAAGCCGATGATTATTTGGGAGATGCATTTGTCTAGGTAAATGTATTGTGGGTAGTCAATTTTCTCTTGCCATGAGATCCCATTTGGTTTGATGTTTTTTATAGCTGCCTATCCTGTGTGAAGTGTTATAGTTTTCCAGTGATCTTTTCATTTTTTTTCCAAAATGTTAACATGCTCTGCTGTTTCCTTGTTTGCCTTTTCTTTTCAAGGAACGTGATAAAGATGTCACGGAGTTTCCCAATTTCAATTTTAATGTCTCCCATCATGGTGATTATGTGGCAATAGCATCAGAACCACTATGCCTTGTGGGGTTGGATGTTGTTTCTTGCACTATTCCGTGGAAAGAAACGGTTACTGAATTCATTCAAAACTTCTCATCATATTTCTCAAGATTGGAGTGGAATTTTATAATAGGTGCAGGCAATGAAGAACAAATTTTGGTTGAATTTTACAGGTAGTGTTGTCCTCTACCTATAATAATCAGGATAACTCATTCAATCGTCCTCTTCGTCTGTGGTTCAAAGGTGTTTACTCGTAATTTCTCAGACATTTATCGCTCAAAATCAGGCCTTGCGCTCTTCTTGTGCCTCTCTTAGACAATTCAGACAATATAAAATGGGATTGACAGGGATGATGGTCTCTGCGACTTATTATTGACAAATAAGAACAGTAAAACACTATCTTTTTACGGCCTTCCCTTCCCCTTACAGTGAGGATACACAGTGTCAATGGTATCTTTGAATCATGTCTTAGAGATGCAGTTGATAGCACGTACATAGGGCATAATGTTTACTACCAGTTGTGTCTAATAGCGAGCTTGAATATATCTGTGCCCTATTGGAGATCCAGGATTTGCTGCTAATATTTTTACAGCGAGCAGAAAATGTCAACTGGTTGTCTGATTATTATCAGTTTGGGTGCTAATTTGGTGTGGAACAACTGATCGAAAAGTGAGTAGTCACTTGCTCCACTCTTCTTTTAACTTCAAATTATGGACTATGAAGGTTACTATCTGTTCTCATAGCCAATACCAGGTAAGATTTGTATAGACGAATCATCCAGTTACTTTTCATAGTAACACTTTAAGGAGGATTGGTTGTAAATCGATAGTGTGTGGTGACAATGGAGATTGGCAGTATTTAGAGGATACCCTTTCTTCTGCTTTTGGCTTCTTTTCCTCTGCGTCTATTGCTGTGCGTGTATCCTTCATGTACTCCATTCCATAGCACTGCTTGCAGTGGTTTTTGGCATGGTCTAGGTGAACCCTTTTGTCTCTCTTTGTATTTAAGGCCTCTCAAGTTGGCCCATCACCCCTAAAAGAAATATTTTCCTTTCATCTTCGAGTTAGTGAAGTTCATTGATTGCATCATCAGAAGGAAAATGGCATCTTTTTTAGGTTCACATTTTTCAGAAGTGTCGGATCATTTATAAGTAGACTATTTGTAGACCTCAGCATTTGGACTTCAATTTTTTGAAGTTCTCGGTCTTTATCATGATTGATAAATCACATGACATCACAAATACTTAAAAAACTGAAGTTATTGTGGAACATTGCGGAACTCATATATCTGTCGAACTTCCCCTTCATGCGCAAGGCAGTTCACCAAAGATATGTGCAGTTCAAACCTCTACTCATAAAGAGGGGGATGCGAGGAAGAGAACACGGAGTCTCTTGCTCCCATAACATGATAAGTTGGGTGGGAGTTTAGCTATTAGAGAATTTCTGTGTTCATTGTTACAATGAGGACCCTAACCAACTTAAGTCGACCTATTTGGATAACGAACTTCAAGAAGGAATTTGTAAGATAGGACTCGAGGAAAGACCCAGGAACTATAACGAATGAAATATCTATGGTGATCTCTAGACTAGTAACAGTTTCCCTGTGGATGTAGTGATATTCATTTGCATTGCATTGCATTTGGCGTAGCATCAGGAGTTTTCAACAGCTTCCCTACTGGTAATAGTCAGATCGTGACTTCGACAGATATTGGTGCTTGAAGGAAGCATATGTCAAAGCCATTGGCAGTGGATTGGCATGTGGGTTGGATAGAGTCGAGTTTCACCACACTGGTTGGACAAACATAAATGTTAAAATTGACGGAACATCTTCGCCGCACTGGAAGTTTTGGCTCCTCGATTTGGGAGAAAAACATTATGTAAGTCCTCTCTTTCTCTCTGTCTCACACGCAGAAACATACGCACGCAATTTTCTGCCATTAGCTAATTTTGGATTCAGTCCCACAGTTTGATAGAAACTAAGAATATTACTTCTGGATTTGCTAACATCCAAGATCTAATCTAAGCCTTCTGAGTTGTGAGTGTTGTCTTGAAATATCGAATAGGACATTACATCTTGCCATGTAGATTAATCGAAAGTTGTCTCAATACTCTTTAAGTCCTGCTTTATTACAATTGATTAACTCTTATCCCCATGTGCTACTTCTGCGGACACCTCTTGTATTTTAGTGAAATCCGATTGAAACCCCTCGTACTTCAAATGTAGTTGTGTAGCCCATAACATTTTGAAAATGGTCAGTGCTAATAGAGTTTCGTCGAAGTACAGAGAGGGTTAATTGAATTTCCTGTAGATTTTTGGTAAAGTATGAGCACGTACTTTGTGCCTCGTCACTCAGAGAAATTCCTTCTGCCATTGCAGATATCCATTGCAAGGGGTCACCCGAGATCAGCAGCCGAAAGCTACAAGAGCACATTGAAAAGAGTGGAATTTTCTGAGGATGAATATTTTGCTGGTTTCCATCTTCCAGATGTTAGTTTCATCTCGCAAACAGTGGAACAGCTCATCTCGATTCTACGGGATGCCAAGAAAGCCTGAACCACCGAAGGGGCGTGCAATGCGGCGTTAGCCGGAGATGGCGGCAGAAACCAAAATAGCAGTGTCAACCATTTCGAGGGTCTTGTTTATATATCTGTAATGCAAGCAAATTGCTATTGGATTGAGGTTGAAGAAATGTATTCTATCTTTTCTGGCGAACGAAGAAATGCATGTACTGTCACAAATTCAAGCAATAGTGTCAAGGAAAAGGCCCAATCATCTATATATATTATCAACTCCGTCGCCAGGAATCTCTTTTGCGTACAAAGGCTTATCTGCCCAACATTTTATAGGACGCAAGTGTCAGAGAGTATCTATTTCTATAGAATGAATTCAAAGAAAGCAATGACATGGGATGAAAATCGTGGTATACACCATTTCGTCGCTTTTAACTTGGAATATTTTGACCTATATAACTCTGCTCTGCGCGCGAGGCGACGCGCGGCGATCGTCCGTGTATTTACAAAAAGATGTTGGAGGATTGAACGAAGTTCAATTTACAGCCCTTCATCTCCTTCAATATTGTACGAGTCGTCGATTATGTCCAAAGCGACGACTTTCGAAGCACTCATCTTCATAGAGCTCGACCGAACATTGAACGGGACTCGGGCATAGCTGGGCACGACCCCGCATGCGTCCTCCTCCTTCTTAAGATCAGCCGGAGGCAAGAAACAGTCCATCGACAACCCCTTGATGTTGAAGTCCACCTCCTCGATGGCCCAGACCTCTTCCATCCGCGTCCTGGAATGGCTCTCCGAGTTCTCGCCGAACCTAAACAAGGACACCGACGTCCTCCCGGCGTGAGCGATGTTTATACCGTCAATGGTCCGGTAGTCCTGGATCAGAGACTCCATGGTGGTCTCCCAGAAGACGCTCTCGGAGCTCGACGACTTGATCCTTAGGAGGTGAGAGTCTTCCAACTGGACCAAGAGGCCGGTCCTCTGGCTGAAGTAGCCCCACAGCGTGTGCCGGATTATCTCGACGTTGCTGCTGCTCCTGGCCCTCAGCGTAGACGGCTCGGCTTCGAGCTTGAGGACGAAGCAGTCTTCGTTGTTGATCGCCTTCTCGCCGATGCAGACCGAGTTGGAGAACAAGTCCGAAGTGGCCCTCGGATCGAGACCCTGCTCATAATTTTCAAGTGTTCTCTCAGCAACTAGTCCAATTCAATGTGTAGTTTTACCAGGAGACCTTGACATTATCATTAGAACAAATCTGGTGAAACCAGGACCAAAACTTTGCTGGTTAGGCAGGAATTGGATCCTACATTGGGATCAATGGGGCACGCTTTAAGGCTTTCAGACGTGCAATTTCCAAAGCCTAATATGAACCCAACAAGGTGGTTGGTCGGAAAATTCGCACTTCGCGGCTTTCAAGACTTGCCAGAAGGTTTGACCCTAGACCCTTGACTTATGATGATTTTTCTTTATTCTTCCCCTTTTTTCATGAAATATCTGCGAGATTGTTTCGGTGAATCGTGAAGAAGATTTGACTTCTATCTTGGTTAAAAGAGAATCTAAGTCAACGCTGGGGCTCTATGCCACAATTTCCCAATGGAAGGGCCAAAAAATTGCGCATGAGTCACGCCGTAATTTGGCAGATCCCTCTGGTCAAAAGGCTAAAAATACCAAACGCACCGTTTCCAGCGTTCCAAGTTTCACCAAAGTCGAATCGAGCCAAAAGAAACGATATGGGTGATTCCCAAAAATCTAATTAGATGCTCCTAATAAAAGTCCTAGGATGCGAAAAAAGATCTTGACACTTCTTGCACAAGTTTAACATTAAAGCATCTAAGGAAATTGAAATCTGCCCTAATATCTTGACAAATCCAAAAGTACCATTTTGAATTGTAGATCATATTTTCGAATTGATTTGCGCCCTCGGGTTATCTTTTTATCTAAATCTTAGAGAAATCGTCGTCCTATCTTTAAATGTATCAAGTTCAACAGCAAGAAATTACACCCTTTTTAAGTATGTTTGACGCGAAATAAAACCAAACAAAAGAGAAATAAAAAACCGTTCTACGAGTAATTGGACCTCCCAAAACAACTTTGGTTTTGTTTTCACCATTTTAGAGTAACATTTGCATAGTGCCATTTGAAAAGTCGTCTAAGGAGGGAATTGAAAGAGCGTGCGGTGGTGATACCTGCAAGAACCGGCGGAGAGGGCGGGGCGGCCCGCGGGAGGCGTGGGAGTGGTGCCACGGCGTCTGCCGCCACGCCACCTTGCCGTCGCTGCCGGCGCTGATCTTGTAGCCGTAGACCACCAGCTCGAGGCACCACAGCTCCGGCCTCTTCTGCCACAGCACGAACCCGCCCAGCTCCCCGGCCCCATGCCGCATGCTCTTCACCGTGGCCACCGCCGGCTTCGACTTGCCCTCCTCGCCGGAGCACATCTCCGACACCGCCATCCTCACTTTCCCCATGGCGTACATGCTCTCCACCGCGCCCAGCGCCTGCTCGCCGCCCGACGCCGCCACGTACTGCTGCACTATGTACTTCGCCATGGATGCTTCCTGACCAGTTTGGAGACATGGAGAAGAAACTCGGAAATCAAACATACCGCTCGCCTGGTATAACACAATGACCCGTAGAACGCTAACATGGTTTTTAGTAATTTTATATATCATACGAAATTTCACGTCAAATTTCTGTTCTTAGACTTGTAATTCGACGCGTTCCTTTTCTTCGCTCGATCGCGCTGACAAGATGAAGCGCCCAAACCTTCTGAATAAAAACTCGATCTTTAACGGGGGGTAGGGGTAGGGGTGGGGAAATCGGTTCCACTCACGATGGGGTGATCCTTGATGTCGGCGGCGATGGGGGGGGCGGCGCCGTCGTGGTGTGGTGGGCGGCGGCTTATGGGGAGAGGGACCAGCGGGGCGCCGACGACGCCGAGGAGGAGCTGGACCTCCGCGCTCCGGCCACCGCCGAAGAGGGCGGTCAGCGCCGGGGAGGGCTTGTCGTGGCCCGAGGGGCGCATCCAGGACTTCATGTGGGCCCACGACCTGCTGGAGGGCTTGCTCGCGGGGGCGAACATCTCCTCCGGGATCGGGACCTCGAGCACCGTCTCGAGCCCGTCCTGCCGGTCGTAGTTCGGGCACAGCTTCCTCATCAGCAACACCGAGTCAACCTGACACAGAGAGAGAGAGAGAGAGAGAGAGAGAGAGAGAGAGAGAGAGAGAGAGAGAGAGATTGGGTTTGTGGGTAGTGAGAGAGAGGAATTGCAGAGTGAATAAGGAGAGAGAGAGAGAGAGAGAGATAGAGAGAGAGAGACCGGGTTGTGGGGGGGTGTTACAGTGAGAAGAAGAAGATGGTGAGGCAAAGAGAGAGAGAGAGAGAGAGAGAGAGAGAGAGAGAGAGAGAGAGAAGAATTGCACCAACCGACCATGGCCCTCCCCGAACGTGCAGGGCTTTTGTTTGTGTCGTGTTGGCACGCCCTTCTTTGCAGACGCAGCTTAATTCTCTCTCTTTCTCTCTCTCTATCTCTAATTAATGGATTGATTAATTAAGATTAGTCAAAGATATGGAATATTGAATGATATACGAGCTTAATTTAATTCGAGGCCCGGAAAATTCCAAGTTCATGTGAACCTGAAACTGTTAAACAGGTTCATGTCCTACCAATCTATTCTATTTTATTTTTTCCGAACCAATCTATTTTGCTGGTTCACAAATTCATCTAAGGGTTAATACTACGAAAAATCTCAAATCGGTATATATATGACAAGTTTACTCATAATTAATTTTTTGACCACAAAGATCCCTAAACCGATACACCTTACATTTCGTTAAATTAGATTAATACCACGAAAAATCATAAATTGGTAAACCCGCGATAAATGTCACGGATTTACCAATTTGGGGGTTTTCGTGGTATTAACCTGTTTTTTTATTCTATCTGGCTTTGGTTCCATTGAGCAAGTACTAGTATTAGAATTAATTTCCCCGGGGGCTCGGTGGCAGGGTAGTACGGATTTTCGATCATCTTGTAACGTGAATTCTCGCATTCGATCTTCTCAATTAATTAATCTATCCGAGTCCGACCAAAAAAAAAAATCTATCCTATAAATGGAGATCATTTACTTTTCCCTACTACTACATCGCACTAAATGGAAGGTATCTCTTTTCATATCTTTCCTTAGCTTAATGTCATATAAATCTTTCCTTAATTTCTAAAAATCGAAATTACTGTTTCCGTTTTGGCGTGGGTAAGTCAAATTAGGGTATTCACATTGATAAAGGGATTCTAAAGTGTCCATGATAGAAATTTCCAAAAGTCGAATTGAACAAAGACCTTCTAGATGAGAGGTTTTTTTTTTTTACAAAAAAAAAGAAAATATGTTCACTAGAAATCAAAAAACTTTATCACGAAATATTCCAAAAAAACAAATGAGAGGTTTGAGACTTGATAGTCTTTATTATTCATAACTATTTTCACACTTCGATTAGCTTTTTTGCCCTATTGTTTTAAGTAATTTGACCGATATAATATGTAATCAACATTTATATATAGCCAAACATAAGTTTTAATAAACATAAACATCTAGCAAAAAAAAATTATTGAACATGCCTTTCTAATTTCCTCACTCCACCTAAGTTTAGAAACAATATATTTATTCTTTTTTTGATTGTATGATTCTCTCGTGCTAAATGTGGTACTTCTATTTACTTTCGTGTTTTTCATTATTTATTGGATTAATATGACGAAAAATTATCACAAATGTACTAGTTTGGGAGTTTTTGGTGATACTAACCTTTTGTTTATTTAGGCCAACAGCCATTCATTGTGTTATTCAATAAAAGGCAGATATGTTTAATGTTTCAGTGAATACTTGTGTGGTGGAGGACATGTTCAGTTTAACTAAAAAGGTGTGGCTTAAGCTATACATATAATAAGAATTAATTAATAACGCAAGATTACAATTTCACTAGCTGTGCTTGTACAAATTGGATTTCGCCGATCAAAAATATGAAATTTTGAAGAATCATAAAATATATACCAAATCAACTTGCATTTTTTAGCAAAGATAGATTCCTCAAAACGAGGGTCTCGAGATGGCGCAGAGTTCGTTTCTCCTAATCGATGTTTCGCAGCTTTTCGATTAGTAACCATGCCACGATACGTGTAATCACTTCATTGAAAATCGAATATTTTCTCGAAAAAGGACAGCAGTTTTGATTATGACATGAGGTTATAGGAGGAGATGAAAATCAAGCGGTCGTTTTTAGGAGGGTGACTCGAAACGCTTATCTCGAGAGAGACTTTTTACGGGGAGTTCCTTACGAAAACCCGACTTTTCCTATAATCGGGCGAGCGTGTTAACCGCGATTAATTTCAAAGTTAAATAAAATAAAATAAAAAAGGTCAGGCGTACACATGCAACCACTCACGTTCTAGAGGGTGTGTCAATGTGGACTTAACCCTACAATTAGCGGCGGTCGACGACTTCTTGCGAGGCATTTCGTAGTCGAAGGGGGATTTTTTTTTGTCTTCTGCATTTTCAGTTGCAAGTGTGACACGACTACCTACGTGCCTAGAAAGTTTGATTTATTTGGTAACATTAGATGCTTCTTCTTTGACTTTGATGCACAGGATAAAGATAATACCATGAATGAAAGGGCTTCGTTCCCTAAACAACACCCCTACTTTATGTCTAATCTTAATTTTGCCCCGAACTAAATCACGAATTCTCGCTATGGTCCCAAATCTGGCCCCCCTGCGTCCAAACTTTGTCGCTAGTTTCCTCGAAACTATCGATATTAAGGTCGGCTAGAGATTCATTATCAGAACCCGCGTACTGTACCTCTTCTCCGATACCCTAGCCTTTGTATGAAATAGCAACAGGCTGATGATGTTGATAATTTTGAAGAGGCTAATGGCAACTTTTGGGCACGGGGAAAATTTGGGAATAAAGCGAAAGTTGGTGATTTCTTGTTAGACAAAAAAATGTTTGGAATAAAATTGGAATTAGACCTAAAGTCAACGGTTTTTTCTTTAAAGAATTAGGCCTAAATAAAAGTAGCCCAATTTGGAAAAAGAGCCTGTATAACTTTCTTTGCAATAAACAAATGCATAATAAATATATTAAAAATCACTCATGGAAAATGGGCCGTGCCACCAAATATAATTGAAGGGTTTTTTTTGTCGTTAATTCCAACCATTAATTAAAGCTTAAGTCCTTAAACTGTTTCGTCTAAATTCTGAAACGTGAAATTCGTTGATATTCCCTAAAATGAAGAAAGAAAAACTTTCTCGTCAATTGAAAGGCTGGGCGTGCGGGCACTAAAGAACATAGACCTGTCAGTCCGTCAGATGTATATACCTGGACAGGCGGAGCGACCATAGTTAGAAGCTTGCTTTCCCCACTTTGATGAGGTGCTCTCGGTAATCACTGCCAAGGATTCAAGGTAGGGCCCGGCGTAGTTTCCTTTATGATCGTATTGGCGTTGAAATGACCGAAGGAAGCGCAAAGTGTGAGGTGGGGGGTGGTGGATGTCCCACCGCTTATGGGTGCGTGTTACCTTTGACGGGAGCATATCTCATCGAACATATCTCATCGAAACCCCACCAAATTTACTTTATTAAAGAAAACAAAACATTGCTAAAGAGGAAACAAAAAAAACATCGAACGAAAAACATAAATAACAACTGAAAACAATTAAAATAAAAATATCACTCGCCTTTTTGGCCTTTTTTCCGATGATAACGAATTCGATGACAGGTCGAAATGTCGGCGGCGCCATCCGCGGCGGTCGCCGGAGCACGCGACCGGCCCGCGATGATTACCAGCGGCGGTCCAGTGGTCGGGGGCCAGACTCGACGGTGCCTCATTCGTTGGCTCTCATCAATAAATTATTTGTTAATTTGTCATTTACTAAGGGAAAAAAAAATGAAAAAAAATAGATTAATTTTACCAAGTTTTCAAAGGAGGTTTCGCCACCGAATTTAATTGGAATGGGGACAAAGGAGTTTTGAGTGATTGATGTCGCCAATCATGCCATGCACGTTGGGGTTATTATTCAATTGGTCTTCTTTTAATTTTATTTTTGGGTGTTAGCTTAGTTTACACATTTTATCTGTTATATTTTCAATTTAGTGTAATCATGAATAGTAAATAAAGCCCACCAATTTTAGATTTCTATATGGTTTTGTCTTGGCAATGAAATGGTTATGTGGGTCGAAATGCGCTACCAAAGCCCTCGGTTCCGCAAAAAGATTCGTAGAAGTGCATTTTCGCTCTCGTCGCTATGAATTGACGGTACCCATATGTGCCGAACAAGGTGAAGGTATGTTTAGGGCCCGTTTGGCAACGTGCCAAACAGTGAAAATTTCTGTTCTTTTGTTCCCAGAAATAGTTTAGGAACAGAAATGCGTTTGGTAAACTTTTTGTTCCCAGGCACATTTTTGCAAAAATTTGTGCCGAGAAACGATTTTGGAAGAGAAACAAGAAGTAAAAAAAGTTGCTTCTTATTTCTCGGCACAATTTTGAGAATCAGTTTTTTTTTCTTCTTTTTCTTTTTTTCTTTTCTTATTTTTGTGTTGTTCTTTCCTGGGTGGGCCGGCGACCGGCCACGCCCTAGGGCCGGCGAGGGCGTCACGGCCCTCGCCTCCACCGGCGGCCGACGAGGGCCGTGACGCCCTCGCCGGCCCTGGGCTGTGGCCGGTTGACGGCCGCCGGTCGCCAGCGACCGGCCATGGCCAAAGAAGAAAATGGGTAGAAAGAAAAAAAAAATAAACAATTCAAAATATTATTAAAATATTATTTGGGAACATAAATTTTGTGTAGTTACCAAACGCATTTATGTTCTTTTCTACTCTAGGAATAGAAATTTTGGTCAGTTTATCAAACGCCTTCAAATACTCAGAAATTATTTCCGGACACAGAATAAAAAAAAATCATTTCTGTTCAGAAATAGTTCCCGGGCACAGAATGGTATTCATGCGCACCCTTATTGGTGTGCTTCATCACCGATCGAAAAATGACCCGAGAACCCGAGGATCCAATTTACATGCAAGGTACGATGGGCTTTGCATCGGTTTCTCCGTCCTTTCTTATGTTCTCGAAATTACCCTATCCCGGCACTGCCGACGCATACTTACATCAGTCGCGTCCAGTCGGATGGAATCATGTGGACATCGAAAATGAATGTTCTCCTAGCAAGCTAAGAAGAACATTATAAAGGTGAAAAAA